AAAAAGAAAAAAGCCGGAAGTGGCGCTGTGGCTCAAGTGGTAGAGCACTAGCCTTGAGCTGAAGAGCTGAGGGACAGCGCCCAAGCCCAGAGTTCAGGCCCCACAACTGGACCCACCCCCCCCAAAAAAGAAAAAAGAATGGTGCTGATGAACTGATGGCTGATAATGCCATCAGGAATTAGGAATGACTTTCTTGTTCCCAGGTTCAGTCTCATCCTGTCTTTGGGAGTATAGCCTGGTATGTCTATTTCTTGCCCAAGTTGGCACTGGTGGGCATATTGTTCAACAACTAGATTTTATCTTCCCATCAGTTTGGGGCTTTTTTGGATCCTCACAAGGGTCCTATGAACAGACAACATGGCATGATAGAATGCACACAGATGAGACGAGCTTGCCCTGCTACATACTCAATGTGTAACTTGCTCTCACAGCATCAGTCTGAAACACTTCCTCAGAGTCCACCTGGAACAGGACAGCTTCCCCCTATTTACATGGCTGATCTACAACATTTGGGGCTTGGCCCCCAGAGCGACTGTGGGAGGAAGGCTAGTTTTGGCATTGTTACAACTGCCACTTACAACCTGTGATTATGGGTCTAAAGTACTAATATCTATGCCTCTTCTCCCCAAACATCAGCTCTTCACAAGAATCTCATGCTTTTCCATTCTAAATGCTAATTCTTAAAGAATGGGCAGCTGCCTTAAAAAATTTCCACAGTGGCTCACAACTGTTATTCTAGCTACTCAGCAGGCTGAGATCTCAGTACTATGGTTCAAAAAAAAGTCACATCTGGCTAGAAAAGGCCATGAGACTTATCTCCAATTAACCACCTCAAAAATTGAAGTGAAGCTGTGGATCAAAGTGGTAGAGCACTAGCCTTGAGTGAAAGAACTTAGGGGCAGCACCCAGGCCCTGAGTTCCAAGAGCTATGACCAACCAAAACAAACAAAATTTCCACAAGGAAAAAAAAGTTGCCTGTTTACTCCTATAGTAGGCAGTACAAGGCATTTCAGAGCTGTCTACTTCACCTGAAATGAATGAGAATGGAAGCAAATCTCTTATACAACATACAACCGATCCACAATAAAATATGAAAAACAAAATCTCAAGGGCCTACACATCTTCCTGTTTCTGAAGGAAACCCTCACTAGAGTACATTACCTTCTTAAAAAAAAAAAAAAGTTCATTCAGTTCCAAGATAAATGCTAAAGACAAATGTAATCTCCTGTTCTTTGCATTTTCAGTTATCAAATCCTGTACCAAGATCCAGTAGACTAGCCCAAATTCTTTACACAGGAAATACAGCTCAACTTCTACAAACTAGTCAACTGAACACTTTATCATCAACTACCTTGTAGTAAAGACTGACATCTCTCATGTGCCAGATGGGAAGGGCTACTCTATTTATGGCTGCTTTCTAACAATTAGTTGCAACAAATTAAAGTATATATTATCAGGTATAGGATCTAGGATCAGGAATAGTATATAGCATCATGAGTTAAATGGAGCACCGATACAGGTTTTATGCAATCTAAGAACCACCATTCTGAGTCCTGAATGCTAGGTCATTCTTAGACTATACTAGGAATATTATACAGAGGTAGTCCAATGTTCTAGTCCCACATAGAACAATGTAAAAACTGTGGGCAAGTTATTTGACCTCACTGAGCTTTATCTTCTCTCCTTATGAAAAAGCAATTTACACCATTTGTTTTAGAGTATAATGTAAGCTCAAGTACTTTGGAGATGAAAGTGACAAATGAATTCTCTTAATTATAGGGCCAATAAGACCAAATTAAATTGTCCAAAAATCTTGACTCGGCTATAACACAATGAACATCTCCAACTAGATAACTCTTCCTTTATTATGATGGGGCAAATCAACTAAAGAGTGAGCTAGGGGCTGGGAAGGTGGCTCAGTGGTAGAGCGCTTGCCTTGCATGCATGAGGCCCTGGGTTCAATTCCCCAGCACCATATAAGCAAAAAGGAAAAAAGCCGAAAGTGGCACTGTGGCTCAAGTGGTAGAGCGCTAGCCTTAAGCTGAAGAGCTGAGGGACAGTGCCCAGGCCCAGAGTTCAGGCCCACAACCGGACCCCAAAACAATAAAAAATAAAGAGTGAGCTAAATGGAAGTAATCAGTTTTGAGGTAAGAATAACTTTCAATTTAAAGAATAAACAAAACTGACTTTCAAAGGCCTGCTGAATAGCCAAGAGTTAAAAATATAACCAGCCAATTAAAGTCAAAGTTCAAGACACAGAAATTGGAAAACTTCTAGAACAAATTCTGATGGTTTCATTGACCAAGCTAAATGTCGGGGATGGTCTCATTCACAGATCCCTGCAAAGAAAATGAACCAAGTCCCAATATTTCCCATTAAGCAGGAACAGTGAATAAGGTACCTACATACAGACGACTGTTAGCCACCTAAAAGTTCTATTTTTCCAACTGTAAAAATAAATGTAAGTAACTAATGGAATAACAAAATAAAAGTTTATTTTATTAGAATTAGGAATGTTCTTTCCCTGTGGGCAACCTGAACAGTCCAGTTACAATGAAAATCTAAGAACAGTCATTTCCACAGCACAGGTGCTCTATGCACAACATTACAGGGCTAGGAGCATTTTCATCAATTCACCAATCATCTGATTGTCTCACCAACCCACCCCATCCCATCCCCCAAGTGCTCTGTACCAGGATGTGTAACTAAAGGATGTGACAAGTCTGCTTCTGTATTTGTACTAAATCTCAGTTCCAGAATCACAACTGAACCACATTACATTACAGATTCAACCATTTCAAATCAAGTCAGTGAAGTCTTGGATCTGTTATGTATGTATGTGTGTGTGTGTACAAGTGTATTTAATATATTTATTTAAACACACATAGAACACATATAATCTGGGTCACAGAAAATTACACAGAATTGAGTCTGATGACATTATACGCTACACCATTTTATCATTATGGTTTGTGTCCTGAGCTTTGGATCAAAGTTTTATTGTAAATCACTGAAAACGATTCAATGTTCAATGAATGGATCAAATCAAACATGCACTTTGCAAAAGGCAACGTGACTGACCTCAGAACGGCAGGGAGACACCAGTGCTTCCTGTGAACAGAGCCCTCAGGTAGGCATAACGTAGGTGAAATAGGGAAGCTGTCATACAATATGGCTTGCCTATCCCAGCTGGGGGGCACTGAAGCTATAAACAACAAAAGAAATTAACTCCAGGAACTCTTGTCAAATATGGAGAAAGCTGTTAAAAGCTTAGAAGTAGCTGAAAAGGCCAGGCCACCTTGATCCACACAAACTAGGGAATGCATCCAGCAGGGCAATCCCCTCAGGTCACTGGCCAACACTGAAACTAGAACCCATCCCTGGAAAGAACAGTCCCTCTTGGGTGGCGCTGATACTACCAAGTGCACACACTGTTGCTGGACACCTGTTGTGATGCCAGGGGAGCTTGGAAGGGGGACTGAGAATATTCAAACCTAGATACTGCAAAGTTAACCGGTGCATGTTGAAACATCACATAAAGCATTTTAAGGGAACCACAAACATGTATATAACAGCTCTGGCTGCTTTGCGAAGTTACCAGGGAAAGAAATAGTCACGCTATCTAAAAGCAAAAAACAAAAAACAGGAAAAAAAATCTCTTGAGATTTCATAAATGTCATTTAGGTTGGAACAGCTATTAAAAGTCAAATGGAAGTTTGGGGAAAGAAAGGGGAAAATGTGGAAGAAGCAGACATTGAGTTCAGGTCTGCACTGAGGTGGAAAAGGGGAAGAAAGGGACAGAGTTGACCCTAAAGCAACAAGTGGTTCAGGAAGCAGCATAACATACTCAGCAAACATTCACTGGTTTTGTTTTTCAGGGTTTTTTTTGTTATTTGTTTTTTGTTTTCTGGGAAAAGAACAGCTGCAAGTACATCTCATTTAACAACTTTTTCTAAAAGGAAAAGTAGGGTTTATTCAGCAAAGCCTAACTTAGGCAAAAGGCCAGAGGAAAGTGAACCTACTTCCCAATGGAGTAATAAGATGTACAAATGCAAGAGCAGACAAGGCTGCCTCACAAATGGTAAACACTCCCCAGGCACAGGACAGTGAAAGGAAGACAAAGAGGTCCTCAGCCCAAACTGGCATCTAGTAGTTATACCACTTGATCTAGTTTGCCTAGTTCACTCTGCGCTTTTGTAAGAAACCTGACCTGTTGAAAAATATCACAGCCAGAATGGCCTAAACAGGTAGAGAGTTAATAAAACCACCACCATCCTTTACTTTTAACATAGCTTTTAGTAGAAATTTCATAAAAATGGGCTTCACAGCTAAAATGTATTATAGTTTTTCTATTTGCTGACAGTAGAAAAGAAGCAAAGTCCTATTTCTACATAAATGCACTGTGCAGGAATTTCAGGTCTGGGGGTGTTTGTCTTCACACACTGGGCCCACTGCAACACACACAAGGATCCGCCATTTTAAATTCACAATCTGAGACTAAGTAAATGGCTATTTATTTATATTTAAAGCAAAAACATTCTATTCAACACCCTAACATAAAAAGGAGGGATGGGACGAGCCATAACTAAAATCGTAAAAGGCTCAAAGCAGCAATTAAGGGGAAACAAAACAGGAAAAGATATTAGGAACCACTTCCTCTGGTCATGGGGAGTGCCAGGAGTCTACAGCTGTGTTCGTGACCTGATCTTCAGGGCTGGGTGGAGCCTGAAGTCAGGGAGGGGTGGTAAGTCAGAGACAAATCACCCAACACCTCGAGCACAAACCAGACCATGGCATCTATTCGGAACTTGTTCTCCCTCTTCCTGCCCGAGAGCTGGAAATTCAAGGATCAGACCATGGCCAGGCCAAAGACATACCAAAATCAGGAAGGGCGAGTGACCTCAGGAAGGGGAAACTGAAGCACTCCAGTCAGGTGTTGCAGAGGTGTTAATAAACAAGCACGTCTTCATCCCAACCCCAACCCTGGGGAGATAAAGCCAACTGAAAGAAAATGCACAGCAAATAGACATAATCTTGAAGACTTTTAAAGAATAAATATTTTTTTGTAATTAAACATTATGCAAACACGTGCCACGCTTGCTTTGTCCATGCATATGCACTATATACAATTTTGAAAAATACTGTGTTGTCCTCTTGTTTTAAAAGTCATATACAAAGGTTTTTTTTTTTGTTTTTGTTTTGGTGTGTGTGTGTGTGTGTATGTGTGTGTGTGTGTGTGTGTGTATGTGTGTTGTTTATTTAATCCTCTTGCTGCTTACCCTCTCCCTCCCAAGAAGTTCCCTTCTGGGGAGCTAATTATCACTCTCTCCTGTTCTTTGGGTATGACAAGAGTCACCCTATGTGTGGGGGTGCATCTGAATGTACAGAGGAGGAAGGGGAAGAGGTCCTTGACCAAAGTACAACAAATGGTTTGGACGTGAAGAATAGTGTCAAGGAGCTATTTGAAACTTTTAACTGTGCTACACTGAGGAAAAAGAAAAAGAAAAAAAGGAGTCAGCTTTGAAAATGAAGCTACGTTACAAGTTAAAGTTGGAGGGCTTTTAGTGTGTCTGTCACACTTTTGTTGGCGGCCTAGAATACTGTTGTACAATGGTTTATCTACCTTTTTTATTACAATATAATTTACTTAAACTTTCCGTTAACAAAACAGAATTCTGGCACTACAGACCAGCAGTGTCAGAACAGGCTTAGTGCCTCCTTGTTTGTGTTTGTGTTTGTTTTGTTTTAATTGCATGAGCACTCTAGATGGTAAAGTTTTCAGAGTTCATTTTATGCAGGGCCATTCTCAGTCCTCAATGTACTCCCACAGATCTTTTTCGTAGCCTTCATGCACATGCTGTAATAAAACCCTTCGTCGACTCTCACAGTATCTGTAATCAAAGAAAAAAAAGAACCTGTTGGCAGCCTCCAATTAACAGTAAGAAGAAATGGAAGCATTTACTTACATTTTAAAGCTAACTGATGCAGGAAGTGGGGCTGTGGCTCAAGCAGTAGAGCACTTGTGTTGAACTGAAGAGCTGAGGGACAGTGCCCAGGCCCAGAGTTCAAGCCACATGACCAACAACAACAACAACAACAAAAAGCTAGCTGATGTAGACTTGAAACTAAGCACTGCCTTTACTAGACACAATTTCAGAATGAGATGTACAGACTATCACACTGCTTCTAATGTTCTAAAAAGACCCCTGTCCGGCTGGGTGCTGGTGGCTCACACCTGTAATCCTAGCTACTCAGGAGAGATCTGAGGATCACGGTTCAAAGCCAGCCTGGCCAGAGAGACTCTTATCTCCAATAAACCACTAGAAAACCAGAAGTGGTACTGTGGCTGAAGACCACAGGGAAAATGCCCAGGCCCAGAGATCTAGCCCCACGACTGACCTAAAAAAAAGACCCATGTCTGCCCGGAATTTAATTGCAGACAATCTGGTGAACCTCAGAAAGCATAATTCAACCCCACAGTTCTACAGATAAACAGTTTCATATCATCTATTCATATCTGTAAAATCTTTGTTAATAGTAAAAGCTATTACTAGTAGCTATAATTGGAAAGAAGTAAAAATACTAGTTAGACCTAAATGTCTATACATTACAAACTCCCTAACTTAACAGATATTGAAGTTTGTAAGGAAAAAACTTGGGGGGAGGGTTTATGTTGAAAAAATTTTTCCATCTTTGGCTTAAAAAGTTATATCTTGGGCTGGGAAGGTGGCTCAGTGGTAGAGCGCTTGCCTTGCATGCATGAGGCCCTGGGTTCGATTCCTCAACACCACATAAGCAAAAAGAAAAAAGCCGGAAGTGGCGCTGTGGCTCAGGTGGTAGAGCGCTAGCCTTGAGCTGAAGAGCTGAGGGACAGTGCCCAGGCCCAGAGTTCAGGCCTCACGACCGGACCCAAAAAAAAAAAAAAAAAAGTTATCATATCTTGAAACACCAGTACTGACAGAGCAGAGTAAATCTCAACTAGAGATTTTCTAAAATGAACATAAACTCTTTTATTTTTTTTTTTTTTTTGGTTGGTTAGTTGAGGGTCTTGAACTCTGGGCCTGGGCGCTGTCCCTCAGTTCTTCAGCTCAAGGCTAGCGCTCTACCACTTGAGCCCACATGCCATTTCTGGTTTTCTGGTGATTTACTGGAGATAAGCATCTCACAGATTTTGCTCCCCAGGCTGGCTTTCAACCGTGATACTCAGATCTCAGCCTCCTGAGGTAGCTAGGATTACAGGCGTGAGGCCACTGGCACCCAGCTAACATAAACTCTTTAAAAGATAAGTTTTTACAGCTCACTTAGCAACACCCCTAGTCCTAACCCTAATCATGCACCTCCATCCCCCCACAAGGTAGCAACTAGCTAGTTCAAACTGAGCAGAGTCAGCCAGCCCAGTAATGGCAGCATTCCTCCTCTACAAATGCTACCCCACTACCTGAGAGTCATGGCTGCTCACTGCTGGTTATTAAGTCCAGTTTTGCACCGACATTCAGCATAAGTCATTCTAGACTACTGAAAGAAATTCTGCCACCAACCATGGAAATCTCACCTGTATTTATCTTGTACTTTCTGCTTTATATCCTGCAGAGAGTCTTGGGAAATATCTCGCTCAAGGTACCCTGAAAGCACCTCTGTGGCATTCTCTAGATCTGCTTGGTTATTCTGCAAGAAAAAGAATAGAGAGTAAATTCTGACTCCAAGGAAAACATCAAATGACATAATCTTTCAGATGGTTATCAAGCTCAATAATGATACAACAAATTTTATCAGTGGCTTTCACCTGTAAGAACTGACTGGTTCTCGTATGAGGACTGTGGTTTAAAGCCAACCCAGACAGGAAAGTCCATGAGACTCCCGTAAAAACTCAGAAGTGGGGGCAGGGAAGGTGGCTCAGTGGCAGAGTGCTTGCCTTACATTCATGAGGCCCTGGGTTCAATTCCTCAGAACCACATAAGCAGAAAAAGTCAGAAGTGGTGCTGTGGCTCAAGTGGTAGAGTGCTAGCCTTTGGCTGAAGAGCTGAGGGACAGTGCCCAGGCTGAGTTCAAGCCCCATGACTGATTAAAAAAAAAAAAAAAAAAAACAACTAGGGGACAAATTCTAGCCAGTGAGTTCGAGCCCTAATACAAAAATAATATCTGGCAGCCGGGCACTGGTGGCTCATGCCTGTAATCCTAGCTACTCAGGAGGCTAAGATCTGAGGATCACAGTTCAAAGCCAGCCCGGGCAGGAAAGTCCGTAAGATTCTTATCTCCAATAAACCACTAGAAAACCGGAAGTGGTGCTGTAGCTCCAGTGGTAGAGCGCTTGCCTTGAGTTGAAGAGTGCAGGGATAGCGCCCAAGCCCAGAGTTCAAGCCCCACGACTGACCAAAAAAAAAAAAAAAATCTGGCATATACTTACACATGCTAAGACTTGTGCATTTCATTTTTATTTTGTAAAATGTGCCTCAAAGGAAAACAATTATAAGCAAATACTAAAGTCTAGTTAGCATTTGTCCTGAATTTCTTAGGGATGCTTATACTATCTTTAATTTACTTTGAAATGTATTTTTAAAAATGAGTTTGCTATATGGATAGAAGGATAGATACATGCCTAACCCCCAAAAAAGGACTGGTTTTCTTTAGAGTATTTAAAATGTTAAAAGAACTAAAGATTGATCTATTACCACTGAAAGAATATTGAAGACAAAAGGAAAACCTATTCTTGCTCACACCTGGCTGCAGCTTCTTCCTGATTGCATGAATACACCTTACTTCATTCAGAGTGTGCTAAATACAAACTGAAGGACATGGTATCCTTTACAGTAGCCAGCATCTGCACATGGCATTATCTCCTTTTGTAGCCAGATGGGTTCATGTCATTCACCTACATTTCCAACTGCTACTAAGCTCTACTGTCTACTTCTCTATGGATGTCAGAATTTTAACCCTAGCACTTAAAACATTTAAATCTACTTTACTAGAAAATAATTTGCCACCAAAAGCCCCTTTTTAATCATCACTATTTTACCAAAGGTAGCAACCACATTACCTTTTAATAGCATGGGTTAGTTTTGTCAGATAAAAGATTTTTATTAAGAACTTAGGAGGTGCCCAATGAGGTATAAGCAATGTATATGGATTGTCTCACTTAAACCTTGTAAGATCCTAAAAAGTTAAGATTTTCACATTAAAAACAAGGGGGGGGGGGCAGAGAGATGAGGCTGAATAATTTGCTTGGGTTAACAGAACTAACTAGATAACAACTTCAAGTCTAGGGATGATTCCAGAGCTTGGAGAAACATCACATATCTGAATGCAGTTTAGTAGGAAAAATAAATTTCATATCTTCCTAAGAAGTACTATGTTTGTCTCATATTTTCTTTTGTTTTGTAGTCAGGAGGCTTGAACTCTGGGCCTGAGCGTTGTCGCTCGCTCAGCTCTTCAGCTCAAGGCTAGCACTCTACCACTTGAGCCACAGCGCCACTTTATTGGAGTTAAGAGTTTCATGGCTTTTCTTGTCTGTGCTGGCTTTGAACTGTGATCCTCAGATCTCAGCCTTCTGAGTAGTTAGGATTCCAGGCATGAGCCACCTGTGCCCAGCTGTCCCATATTTTCTGAACCAGTGAAGATGGTCTAAAACTATTTCTATATATCTCATGTACAGAAGACCAAAGTGGTTATTTCCCTAAGGAGGAACTATCCTACCTCAAAGATAATGGACTGGTTATTCTTTTTGAGGTAGAAAGCGAAGACATAAGTGTACATGAGTGTGGCACGACACTGGCAGAGGACATCGACGGCTTTCTTCAGGAACTGCACCTCAATCCAGGACATATTGTGTTGCTGCATCTCCTCCATCTTTTGCTTCACCTGAGCATACAGCTTGTGCTCAAAACGCAGACTCTGCATGTGGTTCATGTAGCGATTACAGTAGAACAGGTACCTCTGTAGGGCAGCCCGGGACCGCTGCACCCAGTCAGAAAAATAAAGGTCACATAACTGTAATATGTACCATGCACAAAAGCTGATATCAAGTTAAACCACAATGAGATAGTGCCGCCCATTTCTTAGAACTGCCTTCCATCAAAAAGAGGAACAATAACAGGTGTAGATGAGGAAATGGGGTAAAGTAATTCCTGTACTTTGCTGGTGGGAATAAAATCATTACAGAAAATGGGAGGAAGCCCTTCAAAAAACAAAACTAGGTATATAATCTGGCAATCACTTTAGCCAAAAGAACTAAGATAGTATTTTGAATAATTCATTCAACACTGTTCATAACAGTCAAGATATAGAGCATCCTAAGATTCCATCAATGAAAGATAAATATATATTGCAATGGAATATTACTCAGCCTTAAAAAGGAGGGAGGAAATGAGGATGGGTCAAGGAATTCTTGATCCAAGGGTACAGTGCTAGTCAGATAAGAAGAACTAAGTTTTGAGATTATACAACAAAAATTTTTATAAAATAAAAAGAATAAATTTAAAATGTCCCATCATTAACAAAAAGATAGATTAGTAAAGGGCAGAACTGACAAAATTGTCTTCATTTAATCATTCACATGTATACATATACCAGAACATTACATTGTACCCATAAGCGTGTACAGATGGCATCTGGCAAATAAACAGTAATTTAAAAGTTGATGTACTAGCCCAGTGGCTCACACCTGGAATCCTAGCTACTAGGAGCCTGAGATCTGAGGATCAGGATTCAAAGACAGCCCAGGCAGTCCATAGCCTCTTATCTCCAATTAACTATCAAAAGCTGGAAGTACAGATGTGGCTCAAGTGGTAGAGCACTAGTTTTGAGGGAAAGAGCTAAAGAACTGTGCCTGGGCTTTGAGTTCACGTCCCAGTACTGGCACATGTGTGCATGTATGTGTGCACTCACACACACACACATACACACAAGTTGATGTACTTATTAATGAAATAGCACAGAAATGAGGATAAAATAAAGGATAAACATATCCACAGCTATCTTTTAATACTGCTCTGCTCACTTTTTCAATCTAGCAGCCATAAGCCATTTAAACTTAAAACATGAAATTCAATTCCTAAGTGCTTAGTAGTCACATCCAGTTAGTGGCTACCAAAATAGACAAGTGGTGACAAAGACCAAGCAAGAAGCAGGGACAGACAGACAGTGCCAGGTAAAACCAGACAGAAAAGTTTAAGATTCTATTTCAATGGAAAGAAGCTGAGTTTGGTGGTGCACACCTGTCATATTGTGGTCCAGGCATGTGCCCAGGCAGGAAGCGAAACCTATCTGAAAAATAAGCAGTGAAAAAAGGGCTGGAGGTGTGGCTCAGCAATAGAGTACATGCCCAGAAAGCACAAGGCTCTGAGTTAAAACACCAGTACCAGCTGGGGTCTGCCTGGGCTGCAATTCTGTGCTTTCCTGAGTCACTGGTCAGAAGAGGCATGTAACCTTAGCCAGCCATGGGTTGAAATGGAATCTCACTTTTTTTCTTGGAGAGATGGAGGAGGGGAGAAGAGAACAGGGACCTTGAGTTTGAAGTCAGAGTCTTACTCGGGCCTCCTGCTCTGGCTTTTTGATAATTGGTGATGTCTCACAAATTTATCAGGGTTGGCTTTGAACCATGACCCTCAGATCTCTCTCAGCCTCCTCAGTAGCTAGAATTATAGGCATCAGCCCCTCCCTGGTGCCTGACCCAACTTGGCCTTTTGGTGACTATTCTGGAAATAGTCTAGTAAACATTTTTGCCTGGGCTGGCCTTGAACTGTGATCCCCTGATCTACACGGGCCAAACGGCAAGGATTAAAGGCTAGTAATCTTAAGTTTATCCCAGCATTTCCAGCTATCAATTGATGAGTCCATAAATCCTTATTTTCAAGCCAGTCTTCAACCTACAACTCTACCTTAGCCTTCCAAATAGGATTACAGATAGGACTCACGAACACCCAGATCAGAAATGTTAAATAGGGTCTCATTATGGAAAGCCTGACTCGGTCTGAAATCAAGGTTGGCCTTGAAGTCCTAATCCTCCTGCCTCAGTTTCCTACATGCTAGGATTACAGGCATGTCTTACAGTAGCCAGCCTACAAACGAATTTTTTTTTTTTTTTTGGGTCCGCTCGTGGGGCCTGAACTCTGGGCCTGGGCGCTGTCCCTCAGCTCTTCAGCTCAAGGCTAGTGCTCTACCACTTGAGCCACAGCGCCACTTCCGGCTTTTTTTCTTTTTGCTTATGTGGTGCTGAGGAATCGAACCCAGGGCCTCAGGCATGCAAGGCAAGCGCTCTACCACTGAGCCAACTTCCCAGCCCCTACAAACGAATTTTTTTAAAATGTTAAAAAATAACACAATAGGCCAGAAATGATAGCTCAAATGTATAATCCAAGTTAGGTAGAGGTGGAAAGCAGGGGTTTTCATGTTTCAAGGACAGCCAAAAGAAATTCTCACAGACACTATCAACCAATTTCTGGACACATTGGTGCAAACTTGTTATTCTAGCTAGAAAGGTAGCACATGGCTGGGTGCAGGAGGCACATGCCAGTGAGTCACAGCCCAGGCCAGTCTGGGCATAAAGCAAAACTTGATCTTGAAAATAACCAAGGTAAAAGGAGATGGAGATGTGGCTTAACTGATAAAAGTGCCTGCCCAGGCAAGTGGGAATCTCTGAGTTCAATCCCCTGTACTGCTTTCCCTTTAAAACCAACAATAGCTACAAAAAAGCAAAAATCAGTAACAAACAGATGCAAGCCATGTTTTGGATTGTAGCCCAGCTGTGGGAACCATTTGAAAAGAATACTTCTTGTTTCTCAAGGAATTTCGATTAGCACAGGAAATGAAGAACTATTAAAATTCCAGAGTTCTACAATTTCAATAGAATTACCTACTGAAGGAACCACAAGTGTTAAACAAGGTTATTCCACACTAGTATTTGAATCCCCGGTAAGTGATTTCCTTATTCCACAACAGGAAATATCCCAGCTCCTCATATAATCTGTTTAAATCAGTTCACCTATAATCAAGAAAACTTCATCATAAACAATGGGGTCAAAAGAAAACAAATTAAAAGTGACATATTGCCTAGACACAGCAGTAGGGCACCCATCTACCAGTTGCTATTTTCTGCTCTTTTCTGAGTGATGGGGGTGAATGTTGATACCATGACACACTGAACCCTGAAAATATTTAACACAAGTAGCATAAATATAAGAAAGCAAACAAATAAGAATTCTCTTATGGTGGATATGGTGGACTGTAGTAGCACAGCCTGTAATATCAACATTCAGGAGGCAGAGGCAGGAACATCATGAGTTTGTGGCCAGACTGAGCCATTAAGACTCTGGCTCCAAACAACACTAGAGCAAAACAAAATACACTGCTCTTGATAAACACGTTGGATAAGATCCCCTTTCAAAATACAAATAGTTACCCAGTATTCAATTCCATTATTACTCTATAGTAAGTGTACTCACCTCCTGTGCATCTCTTGCTGCCTTTGCATCATCCTCATTATAACGGTTACAGTTGTACCTTACAGAAAAATTAAGAGATTCCATAAAACCATAAGCCAATGAAAATAAAGTGAAGCAGAACATTTAACCTGAATTTAGACATTATCTACAACACTGCATTTTATAATAGACTAAGACATTAAAACATCCAGTGTTCTACTGTTAAAGAGAAATGAACTGGGGTGTTGCATCTAGTCCACACCTAGGCACTTGACTCTCCTCTTTAATAATGGATCAATTCTTTAGCAAGTTAATAGGAAATTGCCCACCACGCCAATCAGCTTACCTACACTCAATAGAAAGCACTGTTCCCCCGTGACTAACCTCTTCCCCCCAAAAAGCTCATTCTAGAACTACCATTTACTGTCTACGTAGTTCAACCTTCTCACTTTTTGAAGAAAAGAATCTAATGTCATAGGCCATGTGTTACTCAGGCCTATTATTCCTATTACTCATCTTATGTCTTGGTTCTCTAAGCAAAAGAGAACCATGAGCTGAAAATCTAGTCTATACTAGTTGTTGTGATGTGATTTACATGCTATTAGTTTGTTGTTACTGAACATTGAATGATACAAAAATGGAGGAATAAGGAACATGACTAGCGAGGTCACACAAGAGGAGTAAAACCAGCCATTTCCTTGGTCCTTATTACTGCTAAGCGCTTCCAAAGGACTTGAATGTATGGCCACATGGTCTCAAACACCTTCTGACATGTCTATTATCATCATCATTTTGAAAATGGGGTAAATAGGAGTTGGTAAGTGAGGTAAATTAAACTCAGGCCTCTTGAACAACTGAAGCTCATGCTCTTAACACTTTTCCCACGATTGTGTGCCTTTCTTCAAAATCTTTCCACAATGAGCTTTTAATTTTAGATCTAAAGAAATAGTTTGAAATTTAAACTGTTAAACTGGAGCTGCTGTTGCAACTTGCCAAATGTTTTGGGATTTGTGGTAGTACTACAGACTTAGCCTCAGATTCACGTGCTGAACAGGTGCTCTACTACAGCAAACAACGACTCCCAAGTTATCGTACATGTATTTGATTCTTCCATTTGATTTAACCCTAAAATATACTGTCCTTACGCTAATTCAAGTAAGTATCAGTAAAACAGACCAATAAAGCAGTCTATATGAAAACATCCTTTAGCAAGTTTTTAAAGTATTCCTAAAGGAAGGTGCAAATCCATTGTGTTCTCCAGTCAATCAATCCACTCCAAATACTCTGCTTATATTTAATGCCTCAGCCACAAACAGTTCCACCTCATTTAAAATCTGAGTTGTGATTTTACAGACTATGTAAGTCCTTTTTCTCTTCTCTCCACACAATATATTCCCATCTCCTTCTTGTCCTCCAGAAGGAGGGATGCTTCAGTAAGCTTGTTTACAAAAGCACATGGTGAATTTATTGGCTTCTGGCAACACTTAAATTCTCCAGGTTGCCTTCTTAAAATCTAGACAATCTAGCTAAAGCTCAAATAACCTTCTCCTCAGTTCTTTTGCTCACTTTTTTTCTTTCCCCCCCAGTCCTAGGGCTTGAACTCAGAGCCTGGCCACTGTCCCTGAACTTCTTTTGCTCAACACTAGGAGCCACAGTGCCACTTCCAGCCTTTTTTGTTTATGTGGTAATGAGGAATTGAACCTAGGGCTTCATGCATGCTAGGCAAGCACTCTACCACTGAGCCACATTCCCAGCCCCACTTAACAAAAATTTAATCTCAGAAATAATTTCAGAGGTCATTCCTCACTATGCTACTTTGTGAAAATCCCAATGAAACTAAAAGACATTTCATTGTCCTAAATTCACAATCTCTGCATCACATCTTGAATCTACAATCTCTTCCTTCCCCTATTCATGTTCTATCAGGCATCAGAATTATGAGACTATGTAAAATACATAATACAGAAACTTCTCTTCTAAAGAATGTCAAACCATGCCTCTCCCTCTGAAAATACTTTAAAAATAATACATCAACTATTCCCTTTCATAACTTTCTTCCTATTCACCACAATTTGCCAGTGTCAAATACCACTAGGAAATAAGTAACACAAATTAGTAAAATGGGCCATATTATAACACTCAGAAACATTTAACTTTTATCAGAAAATGCTAGCTCCCATTTTTCAACACTTAACCATAAACTTGAATTCTCCGAAATAAAAAATAAGCATGCAACAAAAGTATATATGCATATTTAAGATACAACAGTGTTGAAACAGTTAACAATTTGTATTCAATCAGTTTGGAAAAAAAAGATCTGGAGCCAGTACTGGTGGCTCATGCCTATAATCTTAAATACTCAAGAGAGCTGACATCTGAGAATTGGGATTCAAAAGCCAGCCCAGGCAAGAAAGTCTGTGAGACTCTTAACATCAGAACACTGGAAGTGGAGCTGTGGCTCAAAGTAATAGAGCACTAGACTTGAGCAAAAAAGAGATCAGGCATAGCATCCAGGCCCTGCATTTAAGCTCCACAGCTCCCTCCCCCCCCCCAAAAAAAAAATTTTTTTTTCTGGAAATAAAGCATCTATGTTGAACACATATAGACATTTTTCTTTGTCATCATACAGTATAAGTAACTAGTGACACATCATTAACATTATAGGAATCTGGAAATGACTTAAATAAAGCACAGAAGAGAAAACTGCTATTGAATGGTATCCAGGCTAACGGAAGTAACAGACAAAAAGACAAAAACAGGTTGGCTTCCAGAGACTTTAGTTGACAGCTCTCACTTAAGAGACATGGTAGGGCTGGGAAGGTGGCTCAAGTGGTAGAGCGCTAGCCTTGAGCTGAAGAGCTGAGGGACAGCGCCCAGGCCCAGAGTTCAGGCCCCATGACCGGACCCCAAAAAAAAAAAGAGAGAGAGAGACATGGTAAGCAATGCAACTGAACATGTACTGCATTTTCACAGCACTCTCTCTGTTCATGGTCCTCATTTTGCTCTAAATACACTTCTTAATGCTTTTTCAACAAATGGAATCTCAGATCTTCTTAAAAATTCATGTCAATTGTTACCTCTGTTAAATATGTCTAACAAACCCTCTCTCTGTGTGGATACCTGTTTGTATTTTTCTAATGACACTGATCACATTATTTGGTTCCCAAGTCAAAGGCTACTTTCACTGAGGTAGAAAGATCATTTATGTGGCACACATCATACATCATACCATGTGAACATGTTCTTCCATCCTCCAACCTACCAGGCAGATCCATGTGGTTCCCAAGGGCCAAGACACACCCAGCAAAACTCTGCTTTACAGTTCTGGTTGCGACAGACCATGTGGTTACAACCGCCATCCTTCTCAATTGTGACATGGCATTTGGGACATTCCTATGAAAAGACACTATAAAGTTGGTGTCAATGCTACATGAGGTTGTATTACTACCACTGAGGAGAAGCCAGTTCTAGACCTGGTTTAATTGTAGGTTTTACATGTAAAGACAAGTGCTTTAAAAAATGAGCCATGACCACTATTACCAGCTTATAAGATGTATAATAACTAAGGAACTTTTTAAAAACAGCTTTTTATAGGTGGGGAGTAGTCATGGGGCTTGAACTAGGGGGTCTGGGCACTGTCCTTAGGCTCTTCAGTTCAAGACTGAGTGCTCTCCCCACTTGAGACACAGCACCACTTCCAGTTTTCTGGTGGTTTATTGGAGATAAGAGTCTCACAGATTTTCCTGCCCGGGCTGGCTTTGAACTGCAATCCTCAGATTGCAGTAGCTAGGATTATAGGCGTGAGCCACCGCGCCAGGCTTATGCAGCTTTTTGACCAAGGTTTCCTATGAAGTCCAGACTGACTTGGAACTATAGACCATCCTGATTTGGACTGGAATGCTGTGATTACAGGGATGCAGCACAGAGCCTGCTTTAAGGTAGGTGTCCGCCACCCTCATAGCCACTCAGTGCTGAGAAATGAAGCCAGGGTCTTGCACATGCTAGGCAAGCACTTTACCACTGAGTTACATCCAAATGTAACTGTTTAAGGCTGGGAATGAGGTTTAATGGTAGAGTAGTTACCTAGCATACATAAAACCCTGGGTTCGGGCTGGGAAGGTGGCTCAGTGGTAGAGTGCTTGCCTTGCATGCCTGAGGCCCTGGGTCCGATTCCTCAGCACCACATAAGCAAAAAGAAAAAAGCCGGAAGTAGCACTGTGGCTCAAGTGGTAGAGCGCTAGCCTTGAGCTGAAGAGCTGAGGGACAGTGCCCAGGCCCAGAGTTCAGGCCCCAGGACCAGAACCAAAAAACCAAAAAACCAAACCCTGGGTTCAATTCCTCAATACCACGTAACAGAAAAAGCCAGAAGTAGAGAGCTCAAGTGATAGAGTGCTAACTTGAACAAAAGAGCTCAGGACAGTGCCTAGGCCCTGACTTCAAGCCCCAAGACTGGCACAAAAAAAAAAGTAGTGGTACTGTGGAATATAAAGTGTTTTGTTCACATAGAAATACTTTCTAGTTTCATCTAGATATGGAATACTTCTCAGTGCTTTATGTACATCAATTTATAATCCTTATAGTAATGCTACTCTTCCCCTCGTTTGTCAGATGAATAAACTATAGGAAAAGAAATAAACTCGTTTTAGGTCACATGAAACCATACTCAAGTACGTGGGCATCCTGAGTGAGGCAGGCAGGCAGAAGCTGACTCTCCTAGCTTTAATTTGGTCAAATACCTCCACTTTAAATTTTTTTTTCATTGTGCCTCCTTAACTACTATGCTACAGACATCATAATATGCAGGTTTCTCCCACTCCAATGGTAAGTGAAAGCCTGCTCTGCAAGTTTTGTTTTTTTGCTTCTGAGTATAAAAAACCCAATCTTATTCATTATAATTTATTAAAACTATAAACAACCTGGCACCAGTGACTCATGCCTATAATTCTAATTACTCAGGAGACTAAGATCTGAGGATCAAGGTTCAAAGCTAGCCTCGGCAGAAAAGCCTGTGACTCTTATCTCTAATTAACTACTCAAAAAGCCCAAAGTGGAGTTTGTAGACCATACCATCCAAAACCCAAAAGTTCAGGGCCCAGGACCAACAAATCCCCCTGTAAGTCATAGAGCTTTTTTTTGGGGGGGAAGGGTGGTTTCATTTGAGTCTGAAATCTATAACCTGACCTGACCTTTGTGAAATATACTCCTAGATTGTACTTTCTTTTATTTTGTTGACCGTGGGGCTTGAACTAAGGGTCTGGGCGCTGTCCCTGAGCTCTTTTGCTCAAGGCTAGTGCTCTACTATTTTTTGAGTCACAGTATCACTTCCACTTTTCTGGTGGTTAATTAGAGATAAAAGTCCAGCCCAGGCTGGCTCTGAAATACAATCTTCAGAACTCAGCTTCCTGAGAAGCTAGGATTACAGGCATGAGCTACCAGCACCAGACTCCAGAGTGTACTTTCTGTAATATAAATTATAATGGTTTTAAATAGGCTGATATGGTAGTACTAGGGTTTGAATCAGGCCCTTACACAAGAGGCTCCTTACTAAGCAAGAAGCTCCCCCACTTGAGTCATGCTTCCAAATGTCTTTTTGCTTTTTTTAAATAGGGCCTCAAAATCTTGCCTAGGCAGGCCTAGATCATGATCCTTCTTCTCTATTCTTCTTGTAAAGGTAGAAGCACAGTTGTACATCACCGTGTCTGGCTTACTGATTGAAATGAGGTCTCTCACTAACAACTTATTTATGTAACTCACCTTATTTATGTAACTGTAACCCCTATGTACATCACCATTATAGTAATAAAAATAAATAAACCTGAATGCTCTGCTGTCAACTACCTGTGGCAAGGGGTTTAGAGCTAACTATAAATGTACAGAAGGTTAATTTTTAATAAACAGCAAAAACCAAGCTGCCCTTGCCAAACATTACTTTTATTTTCTATTAAAATAACAAGAGAATTAACTACTTCTGGACATCACAGTGTACTCTAAAAGGCTTTCCTGCATGTTGTGCATTATGGCTGGATGGTAGAGACAGAGAGAACGCAAACCATGTGGCATCTATTTTATGGGGCAGGATTCACTGTGAAAGCTGATACTTTCCAGGAGGGAGAGATGTATTGATAGGTAAGTTACTCAAGTCACTTAAGTGTACAGATAGTATTAAGACCAAATTAAACAAATAAAGATATTTATAGAATGCATTGTTAAGAGACTAGGATTCAAATATTTGTTACTATTGTATTTCTACTATATATTGCTAGTCTGAAGTCAAAGAAGTTGTTTGTTGTGATAAAGAGATTGCTTTTTTCTGGTCAGTCATGGGGTTTGAACTCTGGACCTAGGCATCATCCCTGAACTCTTCAGCTCAAGGCTAGCATCTACCACTTGAGCCACAGTACCACTTCCAGTTTTCTGGTGGTTTACTGGAGATAAGTCTCAAAGGTTTTCCTGCTGGTTTTGAACCGTGATCCTCAGATCTCAGCCTCCTGAATAGCTAGGATTACAAGCATAAGCCACCGGCACCCAGCAAGAGATTGAATTCTGAAACTACTATTAGCAATGATTGTACTTCAAAACAAAAAATAAAGCCAGGCTACTCACACTTGTAATCCTAGCTATTCAAGGGGCTGAGATCTGAGGGTCGTGGTTCAAAGCCAGTCTGGGCAAGTAAGTCAGTGAGATTATTGTCACCAACAAACTACTCAGAAAAGGTTGGAAATGGCGCTGTGGCTCAAGTGGAAAAGCACTAGCCTTGAGTACAAAGAGGTTCAGGGACAGTGCCCAGACCCTTAGTTCAAGCCTCAAGACTGGCAAAAAAAAAAAAAAAAAACGTGGACATACTTGCTACTCTAAAACTTCTATTTCTGAGTTAAGTAATTTAATAAGTAATAAAAGTCAAATATGAAGCAGATTAGGAGAAATTATTTTGTTAAACTTAGTTCAGTTACATAATAAAAATTTAATAACTGGCTTGGCACTGGTGGCTCACACCTATAATCCTAGCTACTCAGGAGGCTGAGATCTGAGGATCCCAGTTTGAAGCCAGCCAGATAGGAAAGGCTGTGAAATTCTTATCTCCAATTAACCCCAGAACACTGGAAGTGGAACAGTGGTTCAAAGTGGTAAGAGTGCTAGCCTTGAGCCAAAAAGAAAAAGGCTCAAGGACACCACCCAGGCCCACAACCAACAAAAAACAAAACAAAAAAACCCAACTTAATAATTGCTCAGATATCCTGTTCAAACCCGCCCCTAAAGAATGACTCTAAAGAATTAAGGTGGAAATGTAAGTCAGCCTATGAGAAACAATCCCGGTGGATTATAAGGCAAGAACAAACCCTACCTAGCCTAGAAAAAGTATCACCTTTTTCTACAGAAAATTAATGTTTTAAAAAGAAAACTGAAGTGGAACACTATGTATGCTGTTAAGTATTCAATATTACAAAATAGGGAAGAGGGAAAAAACCTTAATGGAGAAAAAGGTGTCACAATACCCACACCTACCCACCCACATCTACCCTTCTAAGCTTCAGGCTGGGATGTAGCTCACTGGCGAAGTGCTTGCCTAGCTCCAGGCGCTATCCCCAGTACCACAAAAATAAAACAATAGCCTTTTTAAGTTTCACTGCCATCATTACTGAGGATGAACACCAACCTTTGTGTTGGCTGCAATCCAATTGGAGGTTTCACTGTCATCATCACACTTCTTAATCCACTTCTTTAACCACTGTTTGAAAACAACTACTATTAGAACTTACCAAAAGACTAAAGATGAATAAGTTACTTTAGCATTTAAATATCAACTTCTAAATGTAAAACCCAAAGAACAAGATTATAACTACACTTACTTCTTTCTAAACTTTGCAAGCTGTAATATCTGGTGCCCATAAAACCAACCAAAGGGAGGATCTTCTGACTAGGATGAGAAGGGAGTCCATAGCGTCACTCCCAATTAACAAAGCCTATCAAGAGAGTTGCCTCAACCAGACTATCCCAATAATAATCAGGAGCTTATTACAATTTAACCTGAATACCTTCCATCATCTCTTGAAAAGAGGACGTAACAAAGTCTTTGCCTATTATTTTTCAATCAAGTCTTAAATACCTATCTTCATATTATTCAAAAATGAAAATGCCAAACTCACCTTACATTTAACAGGATCATGCCAATTTTCACCACAGTTAAAGCTGTCAAGTGACACAAAAAGTTAAAACAACATTCTATCTTTATGTAGCATGCCAGATAAAGAAATGTGACATGGTAAGTTAATTACATAATTTAGTACTAATAACACAGTAAACAATATATGAGAGGCAAACAGGCTCCCATAATTTAAAAGATTAACCTTTGCCCTACAGAGAGAAATGGTTGTGGCCCAGGTTTTGTTTTGTTTTGTTTCTGGGAGGGGAAGGGGGTTGGTCGTGGGGCTTGAACTCTAGGCCTAGGCACTATCCCTGAGCTCTTCAGCTAAAGGTAAGGGCTCTACCACTTGAGCCATAGCACCACTTCTGGCTTTCTGGTGGTTAACTGGAGATAAGAGTCTCACAGACGTTCCTGTCTGGGGCTGGCTTTGAACCAGGATCCTCAGATCTCAGCCTGCTGAGTAGCTAGGATTACAGGCGTGAGCCACTGGCTTAGGTATTTTTTAAAAGGCTATTCTCTAAGTATATATAAACTGATAATGCATTTTGTTTTCTATGTTTATGGCATTAAAAAAAAAGGGAGGAGCTGGGCATTGGTAGCTCATGTCTGTGATCCTAGCTACTCAGGAGGGCTGAGATCTGAGGATTGTGGTTCAAAGCCAGCCTGGGCAAGAAAATCCATGAATGGAAGTCAATAAACGTAATCCATCACATCAACAGATCCAAGGTCAAGAGCCGATGATTATCTCCATTGACACATCTCCATTGACACAGAAAAGGCTTTTGATAAAATACAGTATTCATTCATGTTAAAAGCTCTGGAAAAAATAGGAATAGAAGGAACATTCCTTAAAACAATAAAAAGCTTTATATGACAGACCAACAGCCAATATTATACTTAATGGGGGAAAACTACAACCAATTCCCCTAAAAAAAGAAACAAAGCAAGGATGCCCACTCTCTCTACTCCCATTCAATATAGTTCTGGAATCCTTAGCCAGAGCAATAAGGCAAGAAAAAGACATTAAAGGGATCCACATAGGGAAGGAAGAAGTTAAACTCTCTCTTTTGGGAGATGACACGATCTTATATCTTAACAATCCCAAAGGCTCCATCCCCAAACTCTTAAGAGCTTATAAATCACTTCGGTAAAGTAGCAGGATACAAAATTAACCCACAAAAATCAGTCACCTTTCTGTACACCAACAATGTACAAGCAGAAAGGGAAATCAAGGAAACAACTCCATTCACAATAACCTCAGAAAAAATAAAAGTATCTAGGAATTAACCTAACCAAAGATGTAAAGGGTCTATTTAATGAAAACTATAAAAGCCTTAAAAAAAAAAAAGGAATCATAAAGACTCATAGAGGATACCAGGAAATTGAAAAAGATCTCCTATGCTCCTGGATAGGCAGAATTAATATAGTGAAAATGGCTATACTGTCAAAATTGATATACACATTCAATGCAATTCCCATTAAAATCCAAATAACGTACTTTACTGAAATAGAGAAAACAGTACAAAAGTTCATATGGAACAACAAAAGACCTAAAATAGCCAAAGCAATTCTAGGCAAAAGAAACAACGCAGGAGGGATTGCGATATACTGGATTTCAAGCTCTACTATACAGCCATAATAACAAAGATAGCTTGGTACAAAAAGAGACCTGAAGACCAATGGAACAGACTAGAGAACCCAGAAATAAAGTCACATATATGTACAGTCAGTTGATATTTGACAAAGGAGCCAAAGATGTACAGTGGAAGAATCATAACCTCTTCAACTACTGGTGCTGGGAAAACTGGGTGGCCACATGCAGAAAACTGAAAGTAGACCCTAGCCTGTCATCATGCATTAACATCAACTCAAAATGGATTAATGACCTTAACATCAAACCTGATACTCTGAAACTACTACAAGACAGCGTAGGAGAAACACTTGAACTTACAGGCATAGGCAGGAACTTCCTGAACAGAGTCCCAGGGTCACAACAAATTGGAGAGAGACTGGACAAATGGGACTACCTTAAAATAAAAAGTTTCTGCATAGACAAAGAAATAGCAACCAAATTAGAAAGACAGTCAACTAATTGGGAAAAAATATTTACCAGCAAAATATAAGACAAGGGCCTGATATCCCTTACATACAGGGAACTCAAGAAACTAACCCTTCACAAATCTAACAAACCAATCATGAAATGGGCAAGGGAAGTCAACAGAGACTTCTCAGAAGAAGAAATAAAAATGGCAAAGAAACACATGAAGAAATGTTCATCATCCCTGGTTATAAAGGAAATGCAAATAAAAACAACACAGAGATACCACCTTTTCCCAGTCAGAATGGCCCACATCCTAAAGTCAGCCAACGACAAATGCTGGAGGGGATGCGCAGAAAGAGGAACCCTACTGCATTGCTGGTGGGAATGTATACTAATACAACCACTTTGGTAAACAGTTTGTAGGTACCTCAGAAAGCTAAATATAAACCTCCCCTATGACCCAGCCATACCACTCCTAGGCATCTACCCTGTGCAACAGGAACCAGTATACAAAGACACATGCACCTCCATGTTTATTGCAGCACTGTTCACAATAGCCAGGATATGGAAACAACCCAAATGCTCCCATACTGATGACTGGATCCAAAAATTGTGGTACCCATATACAATGGAATATTATGCAGCCATTACAAAGGACAAAATAATGGCATTTGCAGGGAAATGGATGGAACTAGAACAGATTGTTTTGAGTGAAGTAAGCCAAGAACAAAGAGACAAACAGCACATGGTCTCCCTGATATGGATGCTAAAGTCAAAACACAAGACAATATGGCAAAGTAATAGGACTCAAGAAACAAAGGACAGCCACCCATTTTGTCTTATCATTGCTAAATGACTTCATGTTCCTAACCATATATAAATGGTACATATATGCACACACAACAGAGGGAAGCTGGGAGAGGAACAGAATAAGTGGCAACAGCCTACACTAAGCAAAAAGAAAGAAATGTAAACATCACCTGATATGGAATAAATAACTTGTATTGTTAAAGCTCACAGAACTCACAAACTGTATAGACCATGATAATGACAATTTGCCTTGTGAAGGTTAAAATGCGTTTATGACTTTAAGTATCACTATTCCACAATAGTGTGAAATATATGTGAAACTTATGTAATCACCTAATCTCAATTAAAGAAAAAAGTTAGAGAAGGGATGGGTTAGGAGAGATGGGTGACAATGTTGTCAGACACTTTGTACTCATATACTGTTCTGTAGAATGAGAACATCTTTGTACAACTACTTAAAAGATAATTAAAAAAAAATAAAGTAAAAGCAAAAAAAAAAAAAAAAGTCCATGAGACTCTTTTCTTCAATTAACCACCAGAAAACCAGAAGCAGCACTGTGGCTTAAAATTGTAAATAAATAAATAAAGCTTAGGGACAGTACCCAGGCTCTAAGTTCAAGCCCCAAGACCACCAAAAAATAAAAAATTTTTAAAAATTCTTATTAAAAATATATTTGAAAGTAGTAAGAAGTCAGATTCCATTTTCCCATTGCAGACTCTGAAACAATAATGTGCAATTACGTTCATTATATAGGATCATTAGTATCCATTCAAAATGGAAGAACTGGGCTGGGAATGTGGCTTAGTGGTAGAGTGCTTGCCTAGCATGCATCAAGACCTGGGTTCGATGCCTCTGTGCCACAAAAACAGAAAACACCAGAAATGTCATTGTGGCTCAAGTGATAAAGTGCCAGTGTTGTGCAAAAAAAAGCAGCTCAGGGACAGTGTCCAGGCCCTCAGTTCAAGCCCCAGGACTAACCAAAAAGAAAAAAGGAAAGAAAGAAAACGAAACAACTGAATTCTTGCCTCAGATCACTGAATTTCCTTTCACATAAGTTAAGCTGTAGTGAAGCAGAAAGGAAATGTGGGTAGAGATGCATTCTATGAAAAATACATCCTGGGGCTGGGAATATGGCTTAGTAGTAGAGTGCTTGCCTTCCATGCATGAAGCCCTGGGTACCACATAAAAGGCCAGAAGTGGCTCAGTGGCTCAAGTGGTAGAGTGCTAGCCTTGAGCAAAAGAAGCTCAGGGACGGTACCTTAGCCCTGAGTTGAAGCCCCAAGTGGCAAAAAAAAAAAAAAAAGAAGAAGAAGAAAAAAGAAAAATACATCCAGAAATTAGAGTATCACGGACAGAGGAAAACTTATTTAAGATGTGACTTCTACATCCAATTCTTTTTTTCTTTTTTTTTTAGCAGTCATAGGGCTTGAACTCAGGGACTAGATGTTGTCCCAGAGCTCTTTTGCTCTAGGTTAGCATCCTACCCCTTTGAAACACAAGTTCCTCTTACCCCAATTCTTAATTGAAAGAAATATACATCATTTTAAACCAGACTACTCATCTCCCAATTTGAACTCCACCATCCCCAATTTTACTACAATGAAGAGTACACAGGCAAGCTGACAGCACTATTCTTACTCAGCAAATCACATCCTTACCAAAACTGGCGTCCGCACTTGCAGCGAACAGGTTTAGCGTCAGGATACTGGACCTTAACAACATGGTGGCAGTCTGGAGCGGGACACCACTTCAACAGTCGATTGCACTGAAACAGAGGTTAGAAAATCAAAACATGACAGGAAATTACTAAGCAGGCTCCTACAATAATACTTTTGGATGCACTGCTTTATTATTCCCTTAAGACCTAATTTTATAAAACATATGACCTATCTCTTATTTTAGCCACAAATCCCAAGATAAACCAGAAATTACTGATATGTGATTGTTAACCAATAGTTTATGGTTCTATTTCAGACAATTTCTTTAGATTAATTCCTAATAAGGCAAGTTGTTAGGTGCTACAGTCTGCAATGAGCTAATGGCCATATATATTATGCTACAGAAAGAGCAAATTCAGCTCTAATGCACAGGGGCAAAATTCACTTCAGTTCCTGACATGTAAGTTGGTTTTCCATCACTTGGTTTTGCATCACTTAGTTTATTAATTAGAGTTTCTTTAGCATGGATCCAGTCCCGGGGTTCAAACTTATAGCCTATGCACTGTCTTTGCGCATTTTTGCTCAAGGCTAGCCCTCTACCCATTTAAGCCACAGTCCTACTTCCAGCTTTTTAGTTGTTTACTGGAGAAGAGTGTCTCATAGACTTTCCTGTTTGGGCTGACTTTGAATTGCAATCCTTGGATCTCCGCTTTCTGAGTAGTTAGGATTACATACACCATGATGAACTTTTGGCATCCAGGCTCAGATTTTGGCTTTTGAGAGATAAGGCCTTGCTAGGTAACCCAGGCTGGAGTTAAAACTCTCAACTTTCTAAGTGCCCCAGCACCATTTTCAAAGTGTGTATTGCCATGCTGAGCTGAAATTTTTTCAAGAATTTTATTTCTGGGGCAAAACATGGCTAAGCATTCTTTACCAGATTCCAAAAGCCCATTAACAATAGATTCCAAAACTGTACAGTTTTCCAGTTTAATCTCTACCAAAAATAATTTTTTTTGAAATACAAAGTTACAGTGTCATTCCTATATAGGAATCAGCAAACTTTATACAAAGCCAGTAAAGATTTTTTGTATTGTAGTCTACAATGCGCTCTGCAGCAATTACTCAATTCTACAACTGAAGCACAAAAGCAGACAGAACAACTGGGGTTGGACATATCTAAATAAGTCTTTATTTAGAAAACAGGCAGGCCACAATGCTAATCTCTGGTTCTGCTTTACAAAACAAATCTGACAAGTAACCATTGAGAATGGAACCTAAAATAATCAGAAAAACAGCAGGAATAGAAACTAAAATATGACTAGATATGTTTAATTATGAGTCTACTACAACTCTTAGATAACCTACTAAATTCTCCACTAGAAATAAAGAGGAATCAACATAAAACACAGCAAAAACAAATTTTATTATCAGAACTAAAGATGTACTTATTGGCTCCTCATGTGCCTTTTTTTTTTTTGTCAGCTGTGGGGCTTGAACTCTAGGCCTGGATGCTGTCCCTTCAGCTCTTCAGCTCAAGGCAAGCAAGCACTCTACCACTTGAGCTACAGCGCCACTTCTGGTTTTCTGGTGGCTAATTGGAGATCTGATGGACTTTCATGCCCTGGCTGGCTTTCAACCGTGATCCTCAGATCTCAGCCTCCTGAGTAGCTAGGATCACAGACAGTGCTTGGCCTCATATATCTTTGAGACATGTTTTTGAACTCAGGGCCTCTAACTTTTTCTGGACTTTCCTGCTCACAGCTGGTGTTCTGGCACTTGAGCCATGATGCTAGTCTACCATTTTTCTGGTTATTTGGAGATGCAGTCTCATAGACACTTCTGTCCTGGCTGGCTTTGAACTGAGATCCACCAGTTCAAAGTGACTGCTGAGTGACTAGGATTATAGGTGTGAGTCATTGGCACTCAGCTGAGACTAGTTTTTGGTGTCCTTTATAAACATGGTGACACTGTTTCTTATGGTCAATAGACTGCAGGTTTTGGCAGGGTAAACGGGGTTTGAACTCAAGGCAACACACCCACTAGGTTACTCCTTTATCACTTGAGCCATTCCTCCAGCTCTGCTTTTGCTGGTTATTTTTGAGATCAGATCTAAGCTTCAAATGAACATCTTGCTCTCAACCTCTCTAGTAGCTAAGATTACAGGTATGAACCACCGAAAGCTGGGAGAATAGATGTTTTGAAAACTAGCACTGCTAAGCCGGGCACTGGTGGCTCACACCTATAATCCTAGTCGGGAGGCTGAGATCTGAGGACCACAGTTCAAAGCCAGCTGGGGCAGGCAAGTCCATGAGACTCTTATCTCCAATAAACTACTAGAAAACCAGAAGTGGCACTGTGGCTCAAATGGTAGAGCGCTAGCCTTGAGCTGAAGAGCTCAGGAACAGTGCCCAGGCCCACTACTGACCAAAAAACAAAAACAACAACCACAAAAAACATGTAGCATTACAAAGCCCGGCGCTGTTAGCTCACACATGTAATCTTAGCTACTGAGGAGGCTGAGATCTGAAGATTACGGTTCAAAACCAGCAGGGGCAAGAAAGTCCATGAAACTCTTATCTCCAAAACCACCAGACACCTGGAAGTTGTGTCTGGCTCAAGTGGCAGAGCACTAGCCTTGAGCTGAAAAGCTGAGGGACAGCAACCAGCCCGAGTTCAAGCCCCATGACTGACAAAAAACAACTAGCATTACTATGAGAGCATTTTATCCAATGCACATTATGTAAAAACTAAACTATACAATTGGAGAATAGAGATATTGGAGAATAGACATCGGAAGATGAGAACAATGGAAATGATTACATTCATCAAGAAGCATTCCACTCAAAACCTGGCTTATGGAATAATAAACTATCTGCAGAACTACTTAATAATAATAACAACTAGTATTTATATTATTAAACAGAACATTGTTTTTGTCCCAATTCTGGGGCTTGAACTCAGGGCCTGGGCACTGTCCCTGAGCTTTTCTGCTAAAGGCTAGTGCTCTGCCATGTCAGCCATGGCTCTACTTCCAACTGCTTTTGGTGCTTAACTGGAAATAAGAGTCTCATGAACTTTTCTGCCTGAGCTGGCTTTGAACTGCAATACTCAGATCTCAGCCTTCTGAGTAGCTAGGATTACAGACGTGAGCCACTGGTTCCAGCTTAAATGGAAGGAAAGGTTAAATTACTTACCTCTACAAAGCTATTTGTTATTAAATGCTGATACTTTAATTTAACTTTTGAATCTGTGATCAGGCGCCTGAAACCAAGAATAAAGTTTATTAGAAGTTTAAATCTAAAAGTATTTTCTGGTCTTCTGCAATGTGACTTGATAAACTGTTGATGCTATGACTATGAGTAAAACTGCTCTAACTTGAAAATACTGAAATGCAACCCAGGCTTTCAACAAAGCTATTTGTCTGCTAACCATAACGTCCAAGTCATTTCATAGTTTTATCTTTGTAGACATTTTCCAGAGATAGCATTAACAGTATGACTTATCCTAATTACACAGGGTCTAGCTGACCCTTATGAATGTCAAACATAATCATCTTGGGCTGAGACTGCAGCTCAGTGAGAACACTTGCTTAGAAAAACATCCAGGGTTTGATCTTTAGCCAACAAAAAAAAAAGAAAGAAAAAATCATCATTTAACTTAGAGGTTTGATATTACACAGATATAAATTGTATTTATTTTTCTTTGGGCCTATACAATTAACTGATTCTAATCGTTAACATACTAATATAGAATATCTAATTATACATGTATCCATTTATAACTTTCTCATTAATCTGGTGGCAAAATATGCTATCAGTGTCAGGAAAAAATAACCATAAAATTAACAATGTAATTATATAGCTGTGAGAAACTGGAAGGTCAGAAAGAAAAAGGCGAAAGTTAGTATATAGACATAATTTCCTAAGATAAACATGTTAGACAGGTATACGTGGCACACACACAAGAGACAGAGGTAAGAGGGTAACAAATTTGAGGCCAGTGCAGGCAAAGTTAGCAAGACTCACCCCAAAAAACAAAACAAACAAAAAAAAAAAGCAAGAACGAACAAACTAACAAAAAAAGGGATGAGGTACAATTACCACTGTTGAGAATTTAAGAAGTCTGGAAATATATTTCAGTGGTAGAGTGCCTGCCTAGGAAAACTGAGACATGGGTTTAAATCTCTGCATTGTGGGATTACAAAATAATTTGAGTTGGGCTGGAGTGTAGCTCAATATGCTTAATATTGAATCTGCACAATACCCAGGTTTCAATCCTTAAAACCAGCAAAAAAAAATAGAACAACAAAGAAAGGAGTTTAAGCCAGGGACTGATGGCTCACCTCTGTATTCCTAGCTACTCAGGAGGCCAAGATCAGAAGATCAGTTCAAAGCCAGCCAGGGTAGGAAAGTTAATGAGATTCTTATCTCCAATTAACTCGCATAAAACAGGAAGTATCACTGTGGCTCAAAATGGTAGAGTGCTAGCCTTGAGCTAAAAAGCTCAGGGACAACACCCAAGCTCCACAATAAACAAATAAATAAATATGTCCAATGTATACTTAGAAAAGGTACATAAACCATACAGGTTAGAAACAAGGATTTAACAGTCAAAGCCAGGACTTGATAACTGGTTGTATCTCCATGTGATCTAAATAGGCTGTGAGAATTATAGGCTAAATACAGTTTGAAATTGTTACCCTTAGAAAGGTTGGTTAAAAAAAATAATAAAAATAAAAATTAGAGCCGGGCACCAGTGGCTCACACCTGTAATCCTAGATACTCAGGAGGCCGAGATCTGAAAATCACAGTTCAAAGCCAGCTCGAGCAGTAAAGTCCATGAGACTCTTATCTCCAATTAACCACCAGAAAACCAGAAGTGGTACTGTGGCTCAAGTGGTAGAGCGCTCACCTTGAGCTAAAGAGCTGAAGAACAGCATTCAGGCCCAACCAGAGATCAAGCCCCACAACCAATAAATAAGTAAATAAACAAATAAATATAAAAAGGCCCAAGCAAAAGTAACTTTTAGAAATTGCCAAGTATTCCAACAATGCTGCAATAGTTAGACTATCATACTTCCTTCTCACATTAAACTACTTCTTCAAATCTTAACCAATCTATCTGAAATCTTAACATCTGAAGAACCTTATTGCACTTATTTAATGAAGTATGACCATTTGTACTTATGGAATTTAGATTTCTTTCACTGTGAAATGTTCTTTTCCTGACAGAAGAGCATCTTTTTTCCCTATTTATTTATAAGAACTTCATGATAAGCTGGTAAGGTGGCTCAGTGGTAGAGTGCTTGCCTTGCATGCATAAGGCCCTGGGTTTGATTCCCCATACCACCTAAGCAGAAAAAGCTGGAAGTGGTGCAGTAATTCAAATGGTAGAGTGCTAGAGCCTTGAGCTGAGAGACAGCGCCCAGGCCCAGAATTCAGGCTCCACAACCTCCCCCCCTCCACACACACACAAAAGAACCTCATGGTATCATGGTAGATATATTAAATGGTAGATATATTCTGTCCATTTCCCTTCTAGTTCTCTTAAACAGAACCTTATGTGGGCCAGGTATGTATCTGCAATTAAGAGGCATAATCCTGTAATCAGACTACTTGGGGAGCTGAGCCAGGATTACTGAACTCAAGGCCAGTTTGTGACACACACATGGCAAGACTTTGTCTCCAAAAACTGAAGTGCCATATCCAGAAAACAGTTAAATAAGACAGGTGGTTCAGTGGTATAGCACTTGCCTTACATGTATGAGGCCCTGGGCTTGATTCCTCAGCACCACATAAGCAGGAAAAAAAAGCCGGAAGTGGCACTGTGGCTCAAGTGGTGGAGCGCTAGCCTTGAGCTGAAGAGCTGAGGGACAGTGCCCAGGCCCAGAGTTCAGGCCCATGACTGGACCCCCGCCCCCCCCCAAAAAAAAGAAAAGAAACTTAACTGGGCGCCGGTGGCGCACGCCTGTAATCTTAGCTACTCAGGAGGCTGAGATCTGCGGATCGCAGTTCAAAGCCAGCCTGGGCAGGAAAGTCTGTGAAACTCCTATCTCCAATAAACCACCAGAAAAGTGGAAGTAGCACTGTAGCTCAAGTAGCACTTCAGCTCAAGCCTTGAGCTGAGGGACAGCGCTCAGGCCCATAGTTCAAGCCCCACAACCAACCAAAAAGAAAAAGAAAAAAAAAAGAAAATAAGCTTATCTGGTTGAATCCAGAAGAAGGCCCTCAATAGAGCACCTGAAGCATCTTCAGAAAATTTCTGGCTTCTGGCTTCATTACATATAATTTACCTCACTGACAGGAGACGGGCCTAGGAACACCTGAGTCAATAATGACATTCATGGACTCATATTCATCTCTGATTTTACAATGATGTCCTGAGTATCTAGGATGACATACATCATTATACAAGCCACTGGGGATATAATCAAGAACTTTCATCCTTGTGAACCACCAGGCTTCTCACCACTTCCCATTCATCCATGACTGAGCTCAGTTTAATTTGGCCTATACCTTCATCCTTCAGGGGAAGGGGGGGGGGAGAGGGAGGGAGGGAGGGAGTATTTTTTTTGGTCAGTCGTGGGGCTTGAACTCTGGGTGTGGGCACTGTCCCTGCTTTTTGTCTTCAAGGCTAGCCTTCTATCACTTGAGTCACAGCTCCACTTACAGCTTTGATAGTTAACTGGAGGTTAGAGTTTCATGGGCTTTCCTGTCAGGGCTGGCTTCCAATCTTGGTCATCATATAGCAGCCTCCTTGAGTAGCTAGGATTACAGGCATGTACCACTAGCACCCAGCTTCATTTATATCTTCACTAGAAGTAAAATCATCAGTGTCTCTTGTTGAAATTCTCAACTATCTTGGTTTATTTAAAGCTATTCTCTCAAAATATCACCTGAGTGTCTTTCACTTAACTCCCCTTCTTTTAACTTAAATTTCAGTCTCTAAGAGTTCATCTTTTTTATTTTCTTATTTTTTTGGGGGGTGGCCAGTCCTGAGGCTTGAACCCCAGGGCTTAAGCGCTGTCCCTGACCCTTTTTACCTCAAGGATACCACTCTACCACTTTAAGCCATGGCTTTACTTCCGGTTTTCTGGTGGTTAATTGGAGATAGGAGTCTCTTGTGCTTTTCATGCCTGTGCTGGCTTTGAACTGTGATCATCAGATCTCAGACCTCCTGAGTAGCTAAGGATTACAGGCATGTGCCACCAACACCAAGCATTTTCTTTTCTTTTTCTTTTTTTTGGTCAGTCGTGGGGCCTGAACTCGAGGCCTGGGTGCTGTCCTCAGCTCTTCAGCTCAAGGCTAGCTACCACTTGAGCCACATTGCCACTTCCAGCTTTTTCTGTTCTTTGTGATGCTGAGGAATCGAACCCAGGGCCTCATGCACACAAAGCAAGCATTCTACCACTGAGCCAACTTCGCAGCCCCAAGCATTTTCTTTTCTTTTCTTTTGGGTCCGGTCGTAGGGCCTGAACTCTGGGCCTGGGCGCTGTCCCTCAGCTCTTCAGCTCAAGGCTAGCGCTCTACCACTTGAGCCACAGCACCACTTCCAACTTTTTTCTTTTTGCTTATATGGTGCATGCAAGGCAAGCGCTCTACCACTGAGCCACCTTCCCAGCCCTTCTTTTTTTGTACTACATTGTTCACCTATTATGTTAGAGCTTGTACTTATCTAATTACTAAACTCCAAACCTAAAGGCACTAATTTTTATCAAACTGATCAAATTTTTTTTTTTGGGGGGGGTCCAATCGTGGGGCCTGAACTCTGGGCCTGGGCACTGTCCTTCAACTCTTCAGCTCAAGGCTAGCTCTCTACCATTTGAGCCACAGCACCACTTCTTTTTTCTTTTTGCTTATGTGGTGCTGAGGAATCGAACCCAGGGCCTCATGCATGCAAGGCAAGCGCTCTACCACTGTGCCACCTTCCCAGCCCTGATCAAATTATTTAAAATCATAGATTCATACTACTTTTTTCCCTCGTACACACCAGTCTGTTTGTTTCTGCTACCACTGAAATTACAACTCCCATACTACTATCTTTAACCAGAACCTTCTAAGCAAGTCTAATTTGCTCAAATACCTTACCACACTAAAGTATATTCCATTATAAAGTTCTATTTCCAAAACACAAATCTTATTATAATAATCGTAACAATTATCATGATAACTCATTATAAATTATAATTCTTTTCACTCTCTAATAAGCTCCTACTATACTACTCTGTGCTCTGCACACTGCAGACTACATTAACAGAGAAGTATACAACCTATTTTTAAAATATTGACATTATTTAATGAATATTACCCATCCTCTCAATTCTAGTTTTTATTCCTTTTATGTTACTTCCTAAACTCCTAAGGGTGAATGATTTAAGGGAGAATACACTAATAGTACTTTATTGTATACCTTTTACTTAAGCTTTTCCTTTACAGTTATTTGGTGTTGTGCACCTCTTGGGAGAACCTGTATCTTAACTTTTCTGATCCCCTGTGCGTATGTGCTAGGAAACGGGCTCCCAGCAAATGTCTGTTGAATGGAAGGATGCAATGATCTGTAACGATGATGCACAGGACCAAACTTGTCTATCTCTTGGTTTAAAAAAAAAAAAAAAAAAAAAACCTGCCAGGTGCCAGTGACTTATACCTGTAATCCTAGCTACTCAGAAGGCTGAGATCTGAAGATCAAAGCTAGCCCAGTCAGGAAAGCCTGACACTTATCTCCAATGAACCACCAGAAAACCGGAAGTGGCATTGTGGCTAGAGTGGTAGAGCATTCACCTTGAGCAGAAGAGCTGAGAGACAGCACCCAAGCCTAGAGTTCAAGCCCCAACACACACACACACACACACACACACACGGGCCCCAACACACACACACACACAGGTCTGGGAATGTGGCTTAGTGGTAGAGTGCTGTTTGCTTAGCATTCATGAAGCCCTCGGTTCAGTTCCTCAGTACCAAATAACAGAAAAGGCAGAAAGTGGTGCTGTGGCTCAAGAGATAAAGTGCCCAGGGGCAGTGCCCAGGTCCTGAGCTCAAGCCCCAGGACTGGCAAAAAATAAAATAAACCCAAAAAACCCACAACCCTGATGCAAAAGCATAGAGAGATAAGACAGAAAAGAATTATGGTACTCCTAACAGAAGTAAGATTTACTGAAAGACAAATCCAGGACAAACACAGTTAGCAACAACATTAAATATGTACCAAATAAACCAAAGCAGACTGAAATTAAGCAAGCACAATCAGTGAGCTTTATAAATTGTGCTGGCCAGTTTGTCGCTTCATTAAGAAATTGACTCATTAAAGCATATGGCTATACTTTTACTTTCATTACATTTCACGAGATACATTTTTCTGTACAATTATCTAAGACTAATGACACAAACTGTGGATTATTCAAGCCCTGAATCTGTTTGTCATTCTACAATGATGCCAATGAGATAACTTAAAAGTTACGAAAATAAGCAATGACCTGGAATTAAGCAAGCTGGGATTTTACACCAGGCTTAGGAACGCTACACTAACTGTACTTTCTCCGGGTTTCTTCTCTCTTCGAAAGAGAATGTTTGATATGACAAGCAGTTAGGAGACAGCCTCCAGCAGCCAGGAGAACACATCCTCCCTGCATAATCCCAGCCAACAACTGCACACAGCAGGGTTGCCCGAGACCAGCAGTTTCTATTTATTGAGCTATTCCTCTATAAGAAATCCATGCTCAATTCTCATAGCTGCCAGGGCTCAAGAGTTGCATCTGAGTCTCTTCAAAATTGCTTTCTTTTCCTTTCCAAACATGCACTGAGGTTTGTCTACTTTTATTCCTCTACTTAATCCTGCATTCAAACAATGAATCTTTCCTTTATTTTTCATTTAAAATTTTTGTGGTACAGGGGATCAAACCCAGGATCTCACTCATACTAGGCAAGCAGACTACCAGTGAGCTATGTATATCCCCAATCCTTTTTCTATTTCCCTTATACCCTCCCCTCATCCCACAGTCCCCTGTGGGAATGGGGACTGAATCTAGTGCTACATACTTGCTGAGCAAGTACACTACCATTTGAGCTACTTGCAGTTCCTTTAGCTTTTCTTGTTTTTGAGATTTGGTCTTGGTAACTTTGCCCAGGTTGACCTTGAACTTAGGACCCTCCTGCCTCTGCTTCCGAAGTAGCTGGGATTACATTCACAAAACCCAGTTTTCCTTAACTCAATCTTCACGTTTCCCAGAGTACATCAATGACACACTGACATATCCTATACTCCAAGTCCACAATTTAACAAAATCCAGCTGTCAAATTTACTACAACAGTGATTGAGCATTTAACAAAGTTACAACATGCCTTTGTAATAGGAAAGAATGCAGATTACAAAGTCTGAAGAGACTTTTAAAAACTCATTCTTTGAAGTACTAAGTACAAGGCAATTTAGTTAATCAACTAGCCAATATTGAATGTGCAGAATCTATCAAAAATACTTACATAACTGTGTTGTCATCCACTAAGATATCACAACCATGAGCAGGACACGATATAGTCTGAAAAAGATTGAAATTTAAACTGTGTCTTCATTCAACAATTATTTACTGAATGCTTCCCACTACCAGGCACTTAGCTAGATTCTGGGATATTTTAATGTTAGTAGGATCGCAATTCTTTACTTGCCACTAAGGCAACATGTTTCTGTGTGCACATGCAGTTATTCCATAAAGTGAAATCAGCAAAGTATCTGACAAAAATCACTCACCACATTTAGCCAATTCTGATGCCTGCTGAGAAAACTTCATCTAGGTTTTATTTTAACTGAAATATCACATTGTCAAACAGAAATACACCTGTCTGTTACGTACTAATCCAGGAACTTTCACCTGTTCATATTTACCTAAGGGTCTAAGCACTAAAGGAAATTCAACAAGAACTGAAAATTAAATCATTATCTTTACCTGTCCCATGCCTTCCTCCATTATTTTGGTAGTTAAATATTCACTCCAGCACTGCATACAAAACTTATGTCCACATTCAAGGCCAGTGAAATACTGCAACAACAACAACAAAAACAAAAAATCCATGACTTTAACAAAGATATTATTTAAAATAAAACAAAAAAAACACACTGTACGTAATGACTCAAGGCTCTGATAAGTGGCTAAAATGTCCAACTGGACATGAACAGATGAGCTAAAATGAACTTCTAAAGGTGGTGCAATCTAGACATGCAAATACATTAACACAAAAAAATGAATAATCCAAGTACATATGGTAGGCATTTACCAATTTTAGAAAAAGCAGGCAACCATTTGTATTAAATGCAAGAATAAATTGTAAGCACTTCATTGAGCATTAAAGACCCTCAATATCATTAGCCATCAGGGAAATGTTAGTCAAAGCCACAATGGGACAACACACATACTGAAACAACTAAGAAAAAACAAATAATTAAGAAAAAAAAGTAGATAATAAAAAGCACTGCTCATCCACTGCTGATGGGAATGTAAAATGGTACATTAACATTGGAAAACAAACAGGCAATGCCTCAAAATATTCAACAGTTACCATACGACCACTACTCTATATATACTCAAAACAAATGAAAATATACGTCGACAAAAACTTGTACATGAGTATTCTCAGTGGTAACATCATTAGTAGCCCCAAAGTAGAAACAACCTAGATAGACATTCATCAAATAAAGGATAAAAATGTGAAATAGTCACACAGAATGGAGTATTTTGTCACCAAATAAATGAAGTTACTGCTACATAATACATCATGGAGGAACCTTGAAAATATTATGTTAAATGAAAGAAAAGACCACACAAAAGACCATATAATGTTCAATTCCATTTCTATAAAAGCCCGGAAAGAGTCAAATCCCTAGAATAAGAAAAATATGTGTTTAGGGCTAGGAGCAGGAAGAGATTCAAGAATGAGTATGAAAGGTGTTAGCATTATCCCCACCTCTGGCCTCAGCTCCACCCAGACCTGAGCTCCACCTAGCCCTAGAGTTCTAGCCACAAAGCTAGCCACTCCCTCTTTTCCCCCCAGACCTACCTGGTCACCATACTTGCCCAGAGCTACCCACCTGGATGGGGGCAGACACCACACTGCTCCCTCTCCAGGGGGACATATGGCCCCTCTAATAAACCTTATAATAATCTTTCTCCTGTGCCTGACTGCCACTATGTGGTCCCCTGGAATGGTTGTGATGGGTCCTAACAGAAAGTACAAAATTTCTTTAGGGGCTATAAAAATTTAAGGATGGGCATACCTGTAATCCTGGCTATTTAGGAGGCTGAGATATGAGGATTCCAATTCAATGCCAGCCCAGGCAGGAAATGAGTCTTATCTCCAATTAGCCATGCCCCCCCACCCCCCGCAAAAAAAAAAAGTCAAAAAATGGAGCTGTGGCTCAAGTAGTAAAATATCAATCTTGCATGAAAAGGCTAAGCAAGAGTTCAGTACCTTGGGTTCAAAGACAGTACTAGCATTTAAAAAAAAATCAAGATTAAAATTATTAGCTGGGCACTGATGGCTCATGTAATCCTAGCTACTCAGGAGGCTGAGATCTGAGGATTGTGGTTTGAAGCCAGCCCAAGAAGGAAAATCCCTTGAGACTCATATCTCCAATTAAGCACTGAAAAACTGGAAGTAGAGCTGTGGCTCAAAATGGTAGAGCACTAGGCTTGAAAGCTGAAGAGCTAAGGGACAGGGCTCAGGCCCAGAGTTCAAGCCCAATAACCAACAAAAACAAAACAAAAGAACACTACTTTTCAAATAATCTAATATATTATACTTCAATAAATTTAGTTTTCTTAATATAATGCAAATACAGGCGTTCACAGAACTACATGCAAGGCAAACAATCCAGAAAATAAAGTTTTATGGCAGATCAAAAGGTTTATTCCAAATAGCTGACAATAGCAGCAACATTTTACTCTAATCAGATTACATATATCCTTTGAAAGTATATGAAGCATACTATATTTTGTAAGGAGATATTAAGCAACTACTATAAATAATGCTAGAGGATTTGGAGGGCTCTCTTCAAGATTCACATAACAGTTAACCAGTGTTGGTTTAAGAATACAATACCACACTGAGTGGTAGAGTACTCGCCTAGCATGCATAAAGCCCTGGGGGTTTGATTCCTCTGTATCACATAAACAGAAAAAGCCAAAGTGACGCTATGGCTCAATTGGTAGAGTGCTAGCCTTGAGCAAAAGTAGCTCAGGGGCAGTGTCCAGGCCCTGAGTTCAAGCCCAGGACTGGTTTTAAAAAAAGGATACACTATCACAAATTAGTTTCAACTAATAAGCAATACAGGTTCACAGCTAGAATAGTTCTTTTTACAGGGACAGGCATGGTGGAATGGGCTATCTACTACTACTGGGAAAGCTAAACCAGAAGGTCACTGAGCCCAAGAGGTTGGGGCTATATAGCACCCTACCTGGTATCTGCCCCCAGTTTCAGCACAGAGTCATGACTAGAACAACCACTGTACTTCAGCCAGGGCAACACAGCCAAACACATTATCTTTATTTAAAAAACAACTTGTAGTTTAAGTTTGTTGAAAAAATAAGCCTCTATCTAGAAGCAACTGCTACTTCCATTTCTCACACAAGCTTACAGAAATATTCTAACATGTGGCTAGGAAGGAGCTCAGTGAGGCCCTGGGTTCTATTCCTCAGTACCACATAAGCAGAAAAGGCCAGAAATGGCACTGTGTGTGGCTCAAGTGGTAGATAGAGCATTAGCTTTGAGTTGAAGAGTTCAAGGACAAACACAGTAAAAGGACCCCATGTTTGCGTCTGTGCACCTTGTTCTCCCTTTATTTAACATATTTCTGGTATGGCTTCACATTGATATATTGGTTAAACTCTTTTTTTTTTTTTAGGATTTGAACTGTGTGTGTGAGAGAGAGAGGGAAAGAGAGACAGACAGACAGACAGACTTGAGCCATACCTCCAGCCCAGCTTTTTTCTAGTTAACTGAAGACAGGCCGGCGATGGTGGCTCACAGCTGTAATCCTAGCTACTCAGGAGGCTGAGATCTGAGGATAGTGGTTCAAAGCCAGCCCAGGCAGGAAAGACCATGAGATTCTTATCTCCAATGAACCACCAGAAACTGGAAAGTGGCGCTGTGGCTCAAGTGGTAGAGCACTTGTCTTGAGCTTAAGAGCTGAGGGACAGCACCCAGGCCCATAGTTCAAGCCCCCTCCCACACAAAAAAAAAACCCTCAAGATAGAGCCTTGTGTACTGAGTATCTAAGATTACAGGTGTGAGCTACCACCACTTGAATTGGTTGATCTACTTCTAAAGCCTACAGAAAGATACCCAACTCATTAAACAGCCCACTATTATCAGACATTTATACATTTTCCCTACTGGTCTAGTACATTGGCTATTATCTTTGACCATGTGATTGTACCTTAGGACAAAGTGCGCCTAACAGGTACAATCTGACAATATTAGTAGGTTTCTTACAAGAGGTGGTAATAATCCATAGAGCTCAAGAGTATGTTGTTTCTTATCCCATGTCACACAGTGTATCTTTCAATTCCCCAATCTTTGCTAATCTATCTGGTGAAAACACACTAAGAACCTCATTAGTCTTTTTTGTTGTTGTTGGTCATAGGGCTCTACATTATGAAGGAAACTGGCATTCGAATTATGTGAAAATATTTTCTCCCAGTTTTTTTTTAATTGTGAAAATACCGTACAGAGCGGTTACAATTACATGGGTTCTCCCAGTTTTAATTCTGCATATTCACATTCTATTGTGAAGCACTTTATTTATATAAAGTAAAATAAAGTAAAAAGGGGCTCAGTGGTAGAGTGCTTGCTTGCCTCATGTGCATAAGGCCCTGGGTTCAATTCCTCAGTACCACATAAGCAGAAAAAGCTGGAAGTGGTGCTGGTGGTAGGGCGCTAGCCTTGAGCTGAAGAGCTGAGGCCAGGCCCAGAGTTCAGCCCCCATGACCAAAAAAAAAAAAAAAAAATAGTCTTTCAATTTATAGTTCCTGAAGTAAGTAACTTTGATACAAGTAACTAGGTAAGACTCTGTTTCTGTTCCAAGTGGCTATAGAACTGGTCCAATACCACTAACTGAAATGCCCCCCTACTAATACATTATGTCCTCCTCATGCATATATTCAAGTACTCCTCATGCATATGTGTTACTCCCTTACCCACCACTCTACCATTCTTGAATATGCAAGAATTAGTGCTTACTATTTTTTCCTCAATACTTTTAACTATTTTCTTCCAAAATATTCATTGTTTTTATATGTTAGTACTTAAAATTTGTTTATACTTTGTCAGTTTACTTCTTCTTTCTCTTCATGGTTCCTATAAGCAGCATTTTCCTTAAATTTTTAACTTTATTTTTTGTTTATGTAGTACTGAAGAATGAACCCAGGGCCTCATGCATACTAGGCAAGTACTCTACCATTGAGTCACAAACAGCATTTTTTCTTAATCCTTTTTTTTTTTTTTTGTTGATGCACAAGGTTTGGAACTCATGGTCCTTGAACATGTTCTTCTGGTGCTCTAAAACTTAAGCCATGCCTCTGGTTCCTAACTTGTGGCTAATGGCATTTATATACGGTGCTAAGGGTTGTGTCAGGGTTGTGGACAAGTCTGGATCTATCATATTTCCCTTTTCTTCCTTCTTCCACTAGATGGCCTTTACCCTCCTCAGCTCTCTGGGTTGTACCCCTAAATCACAATTATATTATGGTTTTTTTATATAGTTTAAATAAATCCAAACCAAAAAAAAAAAAAAAGGGCTTAGGATATCTATGTAACAAAAATGTGACCAGCCCAGAGAAACACTCTAAAAGACAAATACACACTAAAGTATTTTACTTATCTCCACAGCTACATACTCATATATATAACTGATGTTAAGATGTTAATGAACAGCTCTCCCCACCAGAAATTGCCCATCTCCAAAACTGAAGCCATTTTGCTTATAAAACTCAGTAAAGAGCCAGGTACCAGTGGCTCACGCCTGTAACCCTAGCTACTCAGGAGGCTGAGATCTGAGGACCAAGATTCCAAGCCAGCCTGGCAAAAAAGTCCCTGAGACTTTTATCTTCAATTAACCATCAAAAAGCTGGAAGTAAAACTGTGATTCAAGTGGCAGAGCTCTAATCTTGGGCAAAGAAGCTCTAGGACAGAGTCCAGGCCCTGAGTTCAAGCTCCAGGACAGGAAAAACAACAACAAAGCAAGGGTTAACTGGTGAGGGAAGACAAGGTTGGCTCTAGATTAGTTTTCAAGAATGTTCTCAGATCAAGATTCCGCAGGAAGCCAGGTGCCTATGGCTCACGCCTGTAATCCTAGCTACTCAAGAGGCTGACATCTGAGGATCGTGGTTCAAAGCCAGCCCAGGCAAGGAAAGACTGTGAAACTCTTATCTCTAATAAATCACCAGAAAACCAGAAGTAGTGCTTGCCTTGAGCTAAAGAACTGAGGGACAGTGCCAAGGACCAGAGTTCAAGTCCCACGACCAACCCCCCCCCCAAAAAAAAGATTCCACAGGAGTATTTGGTGGCTCAAGGTGGACATGAGACTCTGTCTTTACATATTTAGTTCATCCTATTCTAAAAATACAAATTATACATTTCATAAAAGTGAGCTATTATAGCACATACGACATTTATTTCCTAATGGAAGTCTGAGTAAGTGTACGTATATATTTTTATGCTGTTTCAAAATAATAAACTGTGATGGGGATTTTGAAACTCCTAGCTAGGTGCTGGTGGCTCAGGTCTAATCCTACCTACTCAAGAGGCTGAGCTCGGAGGATAACAGTTCAAAGATAGCCCAAGCAGGAAAGGTTGTGAGATTTTTATCTCTGATTAACCGACAGAAAACCAGAAGTGGAGGGGTTATCTCTAATTAACCAACAGAAAACCAGAAGTGGAGCGGTTATCTCTAATTAACCAACAGAAAACCAGAAGTGAAGCAGTGTCTACAAGTGGTAGAGTGCTAGCCTTGAGCAAAAAGAGCTCAGGGACAGTGTATCCATCCAAGCTGCGTTCCAGCCCCAGAACCAACAAAGGGGAGTGGGGGGGGGGGGGGGGGAGCTCAGGGACAATACCCAGGCCCCAAGTTCAAGACTCATGACAACACATACACACACAACATACACACACACACACACTCTCTCTCTCTCCACACACACACACAAACACACACATACCCCTCTTGAATTAGTTCCAATAGACAGTTGTACATTAATTCCTTCCTCTTCCTACTTCAAGTTAGTCTCGATCTAAACTACTGAACATGAACAAGTCAGTGACTCTTTTGCCCATGCAGTCTGGTTTTTTATTCTAGCACACTACTTTCAGAGACATCAGTACTTCTTAAAATTCATGCTTCTATTCTCCTCTGGCTTCTGTATCGCTGTATTTTCCTAATTACCAATTTATGAAGACCTGCCATATCAAAAGTTAAATTAGGTGTCTGTTCTGGTTTAGGTCTTAAAGATCCATGAGCACCGCCCCCAAGCCATGTGTTCCAAAATTAATCTCCAGATGAGGGTAAAGAGGTTGTGTAAACTTTGCAGGTAGGGGTTGTGCCATTAAAAGGGATACAAATTCCTGCTTTTTTCTCCCATTCATGTATATGTCTTGCGCCCAACCCCTGGCTACCATGAGTTGAGCATTCCTGCTCCACCATGTATTCCACACAATGCTGTTCTAGAGACAAACCAAAGCAATGAGTCCAAGTGACCCAAAGTAAGTCTTCCATCCTCAGCTCTCATCACGGCAACTGATGTATATATAAGGACCAACAGCATCCCTCCAACAGGCTTCCACAGCATCTTATCTTGTGTCTTCCTAAATCACTCAACTATTCTCTCAAAGCCTTTCTACTTATTTGTCCAGATAACCTTGGAAGGAAGAGATTGTGTATGAATTTTTGGTTCTATTTTGGGTGTAAAACAAAGAACAGTGCCTGGCACTAAGTTCTCCATCATCAGTTACAAGTGCAAAGGCAAAACTACACACTGTATATCTTCATTCCTGATTTTCAACACTGGTTTGAAACTACTGAACAATATCAAGAGCATTGGAAAAGTTACAGTGACTACAGTAGTAGCCTGCTTCAGTACTGAATCAGTTATGGGTAAAATGGAGAAACAAATATGCAGGAAGAAAAAAATGTCAAAGTATAAGGAACTCTGTTAAATTCTAGGATAAGCCAGGTGCTGCCAGTGGTTCACACCTGATAACCCTAGCTACTCAGGAGACTAAGATCTGAGGATCACAGTTCAAAGCCAACTGGAGCAGAAAAGTCCATGACACCCAAAAGCTCAGAGACAGTACCCAAGTTCAAGACTTGAAGCCCCAGGACCAGGAAAAAATAAAATTACAAAATTACAAAAGTCTAAGACAAATTATGTGGACCTTAGTATTTGCTCACAGAAATATTTATAAACTAAAGAACTGCATACATAAATATTAACTGGCAGGGGCTGGGAATGTGGCTTAGTGGTAGAGTGCTTGCCTAGTATTCATGAAGCCCTGGGCTCAATTCCTCAGTACCACATAAACAGAAAAGGCTGGGGAAGTAGCACTGTGGCTCAAGTGGTAGAGTGCTAGCCTTGAGCAAAAGAGGCTCAGGGACAGTGCCCAGGCCCAGAGTTCAAGCCCAAGGACTGAAAAGAGAGACAGAGAGAGAGACAGACAGAGAGAGAGAGATTACCTGGCAAAGAGAAACTGTTAAAGATTAATGGTGTCAAAACCTAACTTTAAAAAAAAGAAACTAACTTCAGATAGGGGAAAAACAAAGGAGGGGGTCACAATGCTAGATAGGAATTGTACCTTACTCATGTAACTGTAACCCCTCTGTACAGTATCTTTACAATAAAAATATTTTTTAAAAAATTAACTTCATGTATTTTAATTGTAATACTCAACTTAGGATAATTTGAGGAGAAAGAATGATATAGTTCACTGGCTGGAAGAGATCTAAAAGAATATTTTAGTCAACTCATTTGAAACACCAGAGCAAATGATTTACCTACTTAAAGGCACAGGATGAAGTATCATAAACAGCTAAAATCAGAACTTCAGAATTCAGAAATTCAGTTCTATACTTATACTACACTAATTCACTGATCATTCTATTTTCTCTAAAACTACATTTGTCAACTGCTTTTCTAATAGGTTATATACTTGAATGAATTAATTCTGATCAATACAGTCTTTAGGAATATTCATCAAAAAAACTTTTGATCGGTTAAACTACATAACTATAATACTGGTGAGAAAAAGCTGGTAGAGTCACATATTAAGGCAGAAAATAAAACAAGTAGCTATAATTCCTGAATTATAGAATTTACTATATACTAAAAATATAGTATTATTAATTCTTAAGTATATTAAAAATACAGTATTAATAAAAATTTCTAAGAAATAATTTGTTAGATAATGAAACATCTTAGAAACTGAATTATAAGTAACTCTTTACCCTTATGTTACAATGTAACTTTCCTAGTTACTAATAAAGTCACACATTCACAGGAAGATATGTGTCATTGGTCTACGGTCTTCTAATTCTGTCACCACTTGGATTTCATCAGTGTTAGTCAAAATCTCATGAAGAATCCTGAAAGTGCCTTCACATATAATATTAAACATGGGGCTTATTAGAAGAGTCTTGGATTTTTTTTTTAATAGAAAAGGGTTTACACAATTCTTCCCATGGTGGTAAAACAAATTCCATAAAGCCTGAGGTGTGTGATAACAACTTTCTATAATAAACAAGCTTTTCAAACAAACTACCAGGGATAGGAATGGTAAGGGGAGCAAAGGTATTATTTTTTTGTCCTTATCCTTAATGAATTGATACATTACTGGTAGTATGGAACTGCTCCTAGACTCCCAGATTTCCTGTTTAAATACTGAAAGGTGATTTACTCTTTGAAATATGGTCAGTGCTAGCCTTAAACTACCAGATACTCACCGAGTTAGGGTAGTTCAAGTAGCAGATCTGACAAGGCATATCCTGTGCTGATGACCTTGTATTCATCTGGCGTGTTCGAGACTTTTTACTTGGATTAATTACATGACACTCAGCAAAAAGCTTCTCCAGGTTTCCATCAAAGTACCTGCATTATTTAAACAGAAAGGATGAGAGCCCAGTAATAGCAAGTCAGAGCTCTCCAAACTGATTTTCTATTAGGAAAAGCACGTCACTAAATTTAAAATCACCAAGACCTTAACCTTTTGTTCAAAGGATAGGAGAAAGGAATGGCTACAAATTGTAGCAAATAGAGAGTGAGAGGGTGTGTGTATGTGTGTGATTCAGTTTTTGCTGCCTTTGATTTTTGGTATCTTTGTCACTGAATAAGAGCTATGGGAAGTTAAGTGCTTAGCATTTTACCCGTCCCAAAATGTCAGGGTGAAAACTACAATATTGCTTGAATCACCTATGAAGAATAGTAGAATCTGAAATGTCTAATTTATACAATTAAGTTGATTCTATTAATAACTTTAGTTAAATCAGGTTGGTATTTGGGGGGAGGGGTGATTTTATGCTGGTACTGGAACTTGAACTCAGGGCCTGAGTACTACCCCTTCACTTTTTCCACTTAAGGCTGGCTCTGTACCACTTGAGCCACTGCTCCTCTCCTAGCTTTACTTTCCTTTTGGTAAGTAAGAGGCTAATGAAAATAGGAGTCTGACAGACTTTCCTATCCAGGCTGCCTCAAATCTCAATCCTTAAATCTCAGCTTCCTTAATATCTAGGATTACAGGTATGAGCCACCATACCTGACAAATTAGATCAGTTTAAATATATTAGCTCTAGCCAGGCACTGGTGGCTCACACCTGTAATCCTAGCTACTCAGGAGGCTGAGATCTGATAATGGCTCAAAGCCAGCCCAGCAGGAAAGGCCATGTATGAAACTCCCATTTCCACTTAATCACTAAAAAACCCAAAGTGGTGCTATGGCTTCAACTGGTAGAGCGCTAGCCTTAGCAAAAGAGCTCATAGACAGTACCCTGGCCCAGAGTTCCAGGCCCGCAACTGACAACTAAATAAACAAGCAAGCTCTTAGTAAACCACTCACAAAGCATACCTTACAAAAAAAATCACTTTAACAATGAAATGATTAGGGCTGGGAATGTGGCTTAGTAGTAGAGTGCTTGCCTAGCATGCACAAAGCCCTGGGTTCCATTCCTTATTACCACATAAACAGAAAAGGCTAGAAGTGGTGCTATGGCTCAAATAGTAGAGTACCATCCTTGAGCAAAAGAAGCTCAGGCACAGTGACCAGGCTCTAAGTACAAGCCTCAAGACTGGCCAGAAAAGGGGGAAAAAAAAAAAAGATTACATGGATCATTCTATGTAAGACTTGCATTTTTCACATTTTTGAGTATTTTCTTTTTTATATCAAATACTTGTACACTAGCTTTTCATAAATATGTACCTAAATATACAGAAGTAGTTCAACATCTAGGATTACCAATAGTACTATTTAGAAAAAGCCTTCTGAAACAGCCTAATAGTCTAAAAAGAACCTTTGATCTCTAAGTCAGTACAACAGTTAAAATATCAATATACAATTGCCAAATTACTCTAGCTTTACCAAAGTTTAATGACTTCAGTATTTTTTATACATGCAGGAGATTCACAATTAAAAATTAGTCAGTACACAAAAGATTCCTTTTTTAATTTATGCCTAGCCTGGGCACTCTCCCTGAGCTTTTTTGCTCAAGGATAGTGCTCTATGAGTTGAACCACAGTTTTACTTTCAGCTTTTTTGGGTGGTTAACTGGAGATAAGACAGTCATGGACTTTCCTTCCTTAAGCTGGCTTTGAACACTGGTCCTCAGATCTCAGCCTCCTCAGTAGCTTACAGTACAAGTGTGAGCCACCAGGACCCAGCTAATTTTCAGTATTTTAAGTGAAGGACTACTGAAAAGCAGTCACAATTCTTCTACATTTTAATTATAAGTGCTGACAAAATGCTAAAAAAGCTCCTTGACATCAGTAGCTTCTCTAAGAATATTTCAATAATCTATCTCTTGGCTACTTTAACCTACTTCTAATTCTTAAATCCTATGGACTAGTAAGAAAAGGATCAAATTTATAAAAAGCAAAAATCACAAAAGGATAAAAAGATCTGAATATAGCAACAGAGCAGGAAGCAGGCACTGTAAGACTCCCCCTCAGTGCTTTGTTTTGAAACAGGGAATTGCTACATATTCCTAGGCTGGCTAGGAGCAAACTCTCCAAACTCTACCCCCACACTCTCCAGGTTGGGAGCAAGGTCTTCATCTTTCACAGAAAGAGAAGTTCAGTAATAGACACCGATTATTTTTTCCTATTCTAGGGAATGAGATTGGAACCTAAGGTTTAGAACACTATAACCCTTCTAAAATAAAGTATTGTGGGGCTGGGAATGTGGCTCAGTGTAGGGTGCATTCATGAGGCCCTGGGTTTGATTCCTCAGTACCACATAAACAGAAAAGGCCAGAAGTGATGCTGTGGCTCAAGTGGTAGAATGCTAGCCTTGAGCACAGAGCCCCAGGATTGGCAAAAAAAAAATAAAATATTGTTATATGGGCACCATTGGCTCAAGCCTATAATCATAGCTGATCAGAAAAATGAGATATGAAGATCACAATTCAAAGCCACCTCAGGCAGAAAACTCCAATTAACCAACAAAAAAGCTGGAAATTGAGGAGTTGCTTAATGGCAGAGTATCAATTTTGCACAAAAAAAGCCAAAGGAAAGTGCCCTGAGTTCAAGTCCCAGTACCCAGTGCTTGCATGCACGTGTGCGTGCACTAAGCCACCTTCCCAGCCCCATGGAATAAATTTTTTTATGCAAGCTAAACAAAACTGCTTTGCCACTTTGTTGGGCACAGGTGGCTCACCCCTGTAATCCTCGCTACTCAGGAGGCTGAGATCAGAGGATAACAATTCAGAGCCAAGGGGTGGGAAGGTGGCTCAGTGGTAGAGCGCTTGCCTTGCATGCCTGAGGCCCTGGGTTCTATTCCCCAGCACCACATACACAAAAAGAAAAAGCCAGAAGTGGCGCTGTGGCTCAAGTGGTAGAGCGCTAGCCTTGAGCTCTAGAGCTGAGGGACAGCGCCCAGGCTCAGAGTTCAGGCTCCACAACTGGACCCAAAAAAAAAAAAAACAATTCAGAGCAGCCCAAGCAGGAAAGACCGTGAGTCTCTCTCCAATTAACCACCAGAAAACGAAGTAGCAGTGTGGCTCAAGTAGTAAAGAGCTTGCCTTGAGCTGAAGAGCTCAGGGACAGCACCAGGCCCAGAGTTCAAGCCTCACAACCAACAGCAGGAAAAAAAAAAAAAAAAGATATTTTAAAAGACAAGTCCTGTTGGCTCATGTAATCCTAGCTACACAGAAGCTGAGATCTAAGGATCATATTAAAAACCAGCCCACAGAGGGGATGAGTCTCATCTCCAATTATCCACAAAAAAGACAAAAGTAGACCTGTTTCAAAAAAAAAAAAAAGGGCTGGGAAGGTGGCTCAGTGGTAGAGCGCTTGCCTTGCAGGCATGAGGCCCTGGGTTCGATTCCTCAGCACCACATAAACAAGAAGAAAAAAGCCGGAAGTGGTGCTGTGGCTCAAGTGGTAGAGCGCTAGCCTTGAGCTGAAGAGCTGAGGGACAGCACCCAGGCCAGAGCTCAGGCCCCATGACCGGACCAAAAAAAAAAAAAAAAAGGTATCCACTTTTTTTTAGCTGATAGTTTGCTAAATAACTTTCCCCTAAAATTATCTAGTGCTTTTAGAAGAATGAAAGGAATATTTTACTGGGGTTATTAATTTTCTATTAGTTCTTAGTGGCAAATAATTCAGGTACTTTCTATTTTGAACTGCTCAGAAACATTGGTAAAAGTGTACATGGCATTCCTTTATCATTTTTGAAATGTTTTCCTGCCTGTATTGTGCAATGTTTGTGTGCTCTCCCCTTTCTCAACGACACATCTGCAAATGACTTACGCCCCTTCCCCACCTTTAAAAGCAAACACATGGGAACATACAATGGTTCAATTCTATAATCCTAGATACTTTACTTAAGAGGTAGAAACCACAAGGTGGATGTTCAAGGCCAGTCAGGGAATAAAAGTCAATGGTATGAGCCTGTAATTCTCAAGGACATAGAGAAGCACAAATAGGATTGCTGTCCAAGGTAGCCTGTGCATAAAGTGAGACTCCATCTCAAAAATAACTATCACAAAAAGGATATATGGCTCCAAGAGTAAATTTACTACTTGCAAGTAGGCACTTGAAAGATCCTTAGTTCAAATCCCAGTACCACCAACACAACAAGCAAAAAGTGCACAGAACCTATTTTTAAAGAGATATTGGGGGTTCAAAAAAAATGAGCACAGAGTACTGTTCCCACATTACTACCATCTCCTACTAAGCACATCATCCCATACTAGGAACATACATCTACTGTCTCTCCATGAATGCTTTGTCATTTTCACTCGGAGGCCAGTTTACATGTGTTTCACACTTGTATACTCCATGCTTTGGAGAAATGGATACATTCATCACTCACCATTGTACCATCACAGAGAGTGGTTTTGCAGCTCTAAACCCATTACACTATTCTCCCTCCCTCCACACTCCCCTAGATCCCAGCATCTGCCCACTGACAACCCCCCACACACACTGTTTAGCTTTTGCAAAATGTCCTATGGTTGGAATCATACAGTCATTTCAGACTGGCTTCTTTCACTTAAAAGTGTTTCAGGTTCTTCTGTACTTTTTCATAGCCTGATAGCTCATTTCTTTTTGGCATTGAATGGACTACAGTTCTGGATTACTACGGTTTAGTATACTCATGCACTTATGGAAGGATATTTTGGCTGGTTCCAAACTTTGGCCAATGCATATGTTTTCATCTAGATATTAAAGTTTTCAGTTTATTTGGGTAAACACCAAGGAGGACATCCGAATCATAGGGAAGAGCATTTCATTTTGCATTAAACGTCCACCATCCTCCAAAGTAGCCATGCCATCCTCTCCATTCCTACCTACAGAAAATTATGGGTTTTTTGTTTTGTTTTGTTTTTTCTTGGCCAGTCCTGGGGCTTGAACTCAACTCAGGGCGAGACACTGTCCC